CAGCAGGAGGTGGAGGTCACAGGGGCTCCTGTAAATGGGAAACACAAAAGAACGGCGCGCTGATGCTGTCCGGATGTCTCGTTACCAGAGCACAATGGGGCCAAAAGCGTAGAGCAGATAGAGCTCAGGAGTGAGATTCAACTTAAATTGGGAAAGATGGAAGGCTGTTAATAAGAAGAAAAGCAGAAAATGAAGAGAGAAAGAGAGCGAGAGAAAGAAAATCTGCCATATTATGCAGCGTTAATATGATAGATACGAGGGTAGGATAAATATGCAGGACCCCTCCCTAATAAATCCCAGTAGTCCTGAATATGAATTATAACCGGCCATGCTTCATTCCACACTGCAATCATAGTTGAATCTTGCCAACACACACCCTTTTCCATTTCTTTCCATTTAAAAAATGGAAAGAAATGCATACATGCTTCACAAAAAAATTAATAAATTAAAAAAAGCAGTCTGAGACTGAGCTTGTCAGGCCTCCTTTGTCAAACTAAATTTACCAATCAGTGCTGACACATTAACAAGTTTCCACAATGTTGCACAGAAAACAAAAACTCAATATTCATCAAGTGGAAGGTAAATTAAAAACTAAAACTTTTTTTGCAAAGAGAAATAGCAAAACAAGATTGAGAGCCCGAATATAATTCAGCCTTCAGAAGTCACACACAGGTAAGTAATGAAACAATATCCAAGCTAAGAACATCTCACTAACCTCTGTTCAAGTTATTCAGCCAGACAGCCTATGTTGAAAATATAAACGTCTCATCCGGAGTGTAAAACATTGCAACAAAAGCCAGCATCCTCACAGTAGAACACGGTGGTGGCAGTATCATGCAGGCATGCTGTACTTCAGCAGTGCCAGGGAAGCATGTCGCAGTTGGCAGAAAAATGAATGAAGCTACAAAGAGGATGATCTTCCAGCAAAGCAATGACCCTAAACACACTGTCAGAGCTACAATACAGTTATTAATATCAAAACATGTTCTTATGGAAGAAAGGCTCAGTCAAAGTCCTGGCATAAATTCAACTGGAAGACTGTGCAAAATTTAAAACCGACGCTCAGGAATGCTCTTTACTCGGTTTTAATGAGGTTGAGCCCATTTTTTTAAATAAAAAAATAAATAAAAAAAAGGATTGGCTCAAAAACCAAACTTTTATCCCAAAGGATAATTATGTCATATTTTATTTATATTGTACGCGTCAGTGATGAAGCAAAACATAAAAACTTTACAAGTCACTGAGTAGGTTTCAGCTACAACATGGATCAACATTTGTTTACCTGGATTTTAACCAGAAATGTGCTCCGATTCAAACACTTTAACATCCTTTGAAACGAATGTGGCCATCAACACATCTGAGAGAGAAAGCTACCGCTAATCCCACACAACAAGCTGAACCTAAAGCTCTTTGCAATGTCACAGTCTGCACAGATCCTCACTGAAGAACACTGTGTTCCAGAGACGTCCAAGAGCAACATGGAATGTATAAGGGGAAAAGTTACACAGGTCGAGATTCAGACTGAACACCTTTTGGTGCTCAAGGCTAAACATCTTGTAAAAAGCTGCAAAAGAACAGAAAGAAGCTCTGGGAAAAATTTGGAACTAAGCAAAGCAGCTATGAGCTTATAAATATATAAAAATGAAAATGCAAATTGTCGTCGATCTCAGGATAAAAAAAAAAAAAAAAAAAAATAGAAGCTTTAAACCAATAATGTTACACGTTGAGGTCTGTCTGAGATTTCTGATGACAAATTCCCTCATGGCCTCCGCTCCAGATTCTTAACTCTCTGGCGTTCACCGCAAATTAATTCATGCAACCTCTCTGAAGCCATCTTAAAAGTGGTGTGAGTTTCAGGCTTCAGTTACACCCACAGAGGGAGCAGATAAGCAGCACAGACAGGCTTCTGCAGCAAAGTTTTTTGGGGTTTTTTTTGCCTTCTGAGAATCCAAACAGAGTGAGGTAGACTGCTTTAATTCTGACACAAAAAAAGCGAAACCTAGAGGCGGTAAATCCCACGTTTAGTCTGGCATTTAAACACACGCTCGCCTTCTTGAACACTTGCTGCTGACCGCTGACGCTGAATGCTCTGCTAAAAAACACAGCTCATTGTGCAGAGCTGAGCAGGTGGCAAACAGCAAATCTGCGCCAGCCTGTCAGTCAGTCAGGCAGCTGAATGAGGAGAGCGGCTGTACAACTACTGCAAGGTTTTATGCACTGAGGGGGGGAAAAGAAAAAGACAGAGAAGTCTTACTGTCTGTTTCACTCGTCTGTCACAGCTGCAATAAACACATTGAGTGTCAAGTAGGGGAAGCAAAAAACAACAACAAAAAAAAAAAGACTTGCTCAAACAAGTGCAGTTTCTCATAAGCAAATACAACAAAATGCCTTAGGGAGTAGGCCAAAATTAGAGAAGTCAAGTCTGAAAGGAACATGTTTGATGTGTGTATTTTTGGACTGAAGAAAGATACAGCTGAGTAATAGCCGTGTGGGTTTCCACACGGCTACGACTTTACAAATCACAAGTTTTTTTTAAGTTTTTTTTTCTCTCGTTTGTTTGGTTTAAAGAACAAGCCCGAAAAATGTAGCTCTGTGTGGGATTCTGGTCGGTCTCAAGCTGATCAACTGGCGTTTATAAAAAAAAAAAGAAGAAAAAAAAAAGTATGGCAGATGAGTAAACATCAACTTGATGGATGTTTTTATTACTTGGTCATTCACATCTGTCCAATCCAAGCAGTGTTCTCACATGTTGCACATTCTGAAATTGTAAGGACTATTAAGCCACGGAAGATTAGGAGAAACTAAGATCCACAGATAAGCTGAGAGAATTAAATTTTTTTAAAGGACAATATTAGTCATACAATTTCACAAAAGCCAAACTTTGAGGAAATGTCACAAGATAAAAAAACAGAAAAAAAGAAGTCGCTTAAGTCAAGATAGCAATAGGAAGTTCCAACTGCAGTTTAGGGACGAATGTTAGACCAAGACTGAACTTCCTGGCCAATACGTCAGATGGCCAGTACTCCGCATAAGCCTGAACACAACAGTCCATGTGAAGAATGGTGACGGCAGTATCATGCTGAGGAGGATGCCTATCTTCGGTTATCTTACTCAAGAAGATGGATGGATGGAAATACAAAGCAGTCCTGGAAAACAACCAGGAAGACGTTGCAAAAGACATGAGACTGAAGTGAATCAAAGTCCTGGCAAGACTTGAATATTCATATCTGACTGATAGGTTGTGAAGCAGAATAGGTAAATATTTAAATCTCTAGAAATATGTAACAGATGTACGGAAAAGCCTTTGCAGCACTAACTAAATCAGGAGCAGCTTAATGTACAGATGCCGTATCATCAGACTTCTAGTTGCAAGAGAAAAAAAAAAAGAAAGAAAAACTACAAAGGGTTTTCTTTCCTCTTCACAATTATAATTCATCCTGATCTAGGGCATCATAAAATCTCCATAAAACACTGTCATTTATGGTTATAATATTACAAAGTGCGAGTATACTAGTCAAAACTTACTATGGGAATGGAACATTTTCTTGACGAAAATTAAAAAACAAAAAATAAAAATAAAAAATCTAGTTATTTATGTCATACAGAGCTAACAAACTACATGTAAACATGGTCTGATCGATCCCACAGAAAAGCCTGGTTGGTAGCTTTAGAGTTATGGCAGAAACACATTAAATCAATTTTTATCGTATTGTCCCTCCTTTCTTGATAAATCTGTTAAACCTGTTCGGGCAACCTTCCCTTACTGATTTCATTTGACCAGCCCACTTCAAACCCCTTATTTGACTAAGCTTCACTGCCATCCCATCAGCTGTTCTAAGCCCCTCCCCCTTGTGGTTTCCGGATAGTAACAGGCTGCCCAATCATTTAGCTGTTTTTTTTCACCGTGCTGGAACAAAAAACAAAAAAAAAAAAAGAGAGAGGGGCTACCAGTTCATAACGTTCAGGAACAATTTATGGGGCTGGAAATGTGTTTTGTTGCTGCTCTGGTTCAGCAGGACAATTCGCTTTTGTCAGAGCCAAAATACAGCAGCACTACAAAAACAAGTCAGCTGATGGAAGGCTTTCAATAATAACAATAATAGTATTTTTTCTTTTTTAAAAAAAGTAAGAACAAACTAGATGCTGCTTTGACTCCAAAACGAATGCTGCCCATAAACTACAGAATCCAGCAAGCTATGACACAGTGAGACAGTCAGATACACTGATCAGGTGGCCATTTTGATGTTGAAATTAACCAACAGACTACACAAGCAAAGCTCAGCTGCGTTTCAACAACAAAATTACAAAAACCTCAGCGTGGTGGCTGGACAAAAGCGACGGCATTGAAGAAAACGCACTCGCTTCCACGACGAGAACAGCTTTCCTATTGTAAAGGAGTGAGACAAAAGAAAGCTGCTGCTTCAGTTAACCTTACGTTATGTAAACAAGCTCCTGCGTAAACGTTTGAGGGGGCAGTTTGACTCAACTCTCCCCCCCCCCCCTCTTCCTCCTAAAAAAAAAAAAAATAGCAAGCTGGACAAAGAAACCAAACTGCCACAAGGTGATTCATGCAGTGTTGCATCTGCTAGTGGTCAAACAAGATGAAAGGCATTCACATAACAGCAGAGCACTAGCTTCGTTCAGGGACATTTTTTTTTAAATATACACAGCACGCTAAGCTAATGTTTTGTCACATATTGTGCATAAACGCGACATGAACCTGTGACCGATGTGATTGGCTAATAGAGTTGTCCCGATAAGCAACTGAAGGTTCGCAGGACAGAAATAGCTAACACTCGGCTTTGCTATCAAAATGTTGTTTACACAAAAAAAACAGCAGCAATTCACACAGCAGAAATTCCTACATGTTTAGCCGCACAAAGACCAACGAGCAGCGTCCATTTAAACAGCTCACACAGCACTTATTTATACATGACGGATGTTACCACGTACTGTTGTTTATGTTCTCTTACACACACACGAAAAAAGAGAAAGGATACAGTTTCACCACATCGGTATCCATTCGCCTTTTACCCGGACTCGGAGACGACATTTTTTGTGCTATTTCCACCGCAGAACGCCAGTAAGTCAGCTGAAAGCCAGCTCCCAGGAACGCTAGACAGTCTAGCGGTCTATACTATCCGAAAGTTAACATTTGTTTTCCCAGATGTTCGCGACAGAACCTCCTCACGGTGAAGCGTCTCCGTCCTATTGAGGGTTTGAGCTATACGTTAGATCTCCCTGTTCACTGCCTTCTCTGCGATCTCACCATGGTTCTGACAAGCAGGGATCCCTCCGCGAATTACGCCATATATGTGCGACTGGAAACGCCACCAAATATGGCCATGTTTGTAGTTTCTAGACTGGAAACTACTGACCAGGGCCAAAAGTGCTAGAAGCAGCCCAAATGTTTGAATGTTTTATGAATTCATAGTTAGGTTACCTGACCATTTAAATATGTATATACATACAGACAGATCCTGAACCTTACTCATCACATTTAAGGGGCGGGGCTAATACAATTATAGACCATATGATTGGTCAGCAAAATGATTGACTGCTGACCAATAAGTGTGAGACCAGGGAATGGGTCAATAAATTTTATGTCTGAATTTAATGGAGGAAAAGACAACCTTTGAAAAGACAAAAAGATTATTCACTTATTCGTGCATATTTTTGTTTGTCCTGAAATAATAAAGCTGAATTATTTGCACCTTTAATTCAATATTTTCAACACAGTGGACACCATCTTTAACTGCTAGTACATTTCTTTTTGTCTAATGTAGATATCATGTTTACTTTGCCGTTTTGAACAAAACAAAAACATTTAGGATTTGAATATCCATTTAAATTTTAGCTCTGTTCATAACCAGGGTTGTTGGCGCCTAAGTCCTTTTGAGGAACAGCTTTTCTTACTTGTGATCAGTGCTTAGTTTAACAACTCAGCCTGATATGTAAACATAGAATTTGAAGATGAGGCCTACAGCTACGATAAGGTTTTCTTTAGATCCATGGCATGTGTTTAGACCCTCAACTTTTAAGATACATGAGGTCTACATGCTTTAAAATCATATTTGCAAGAAACATTCCAAGTCTAAATACGAGATGTTAGGTGGTAGTAAAATGGAGGCCTGAGAGAAGAGGGAAACCCATTTGCTACTAGAAACGGAAGAGTTGATCTGAAATTTATTTCAAACCCGTTTCACTCCAGAATGAAACAAGCAGGTTATAAACTAGTGATTCCAACAGCCGTTTGTGCTTCGATTTTCTTTGTTTTCTTGATTTGCGATGTTAGGTGGAGCCGCAACCCAGACTTTGGGAACCGCTATTCTCAACAGCACCCAAGAAAAATATACCCCTCTGCCCCCCTCAGTGTGTTTACAATTCAATCCATCATGTCTTAAACTGCATTTAGCTATTGTTAGAATGTCAAACAACAAATGCGAGAACATTCAGAAAACCATTTTATTGAGTAGCGTTCACAAAAGTCAATGAAGAACAAATGTCTGCTTACTGACAAGAAAATGCTTTAAAAAGAACATCATGCTCTAAAAACAGAAGTATGAGAAACATAAACTTAATTTGCTCACAGTTGGGTTTTTATGAGGTTCATCTTTATAGCTCCTGCATAACACTATGCATACAGCACATAAAAAAAAAATATTTTTTTTTCCAGTGTTGATCCAAATGGCCATTTATCAGAAACATATTTATTTTTCCATTAAACACATGATTGGGATAAGCCTTCCTTGCAGGTGCTTCTTTATGCGAGTCCTATTATTTGTTGACTGCTTGTAAGACCAAGAGCCCAGCAGCCACAAATCTCGCTTGTGTTCAAACCCTTTGCCGTTTTTACATTTTGCACATCACAACCACCAGCTCTATTGATTTTACCTAGATTTCAAGGTGACAAAACAACACAAAGAAGCGCAAAATTGTAAAATACAAGGAAAACACATAACTTCCAAAAGTGTTCTAAAAATAAAAATTCTAAAAGTGTGATGCGAGTGTGTTTTCAGCCTCCATTCACTTTGATACTCCTAAATAAAATCAAGTACAGCAGACTGGAGGGCTGGAGATGCTACCTTGCAGAAATGAAAAAAAACAAGACATGACCGACACATTAACTGAATCCTCTAAATTATTCTTTGACTTGAGTGTGTTTTGTGTCCTGTGTGTCTGTTGTACCCTGTGTCGACCTGTCCACAGTGTACCCTGCCTTTCTGCCAATAACAATTGGAGACGAGCAGGTTTGAAAACAGAGAATTTGTTTCACAATTATGCACTACTTTGTGTTTATCTGTCAATCTCAATATAATAAATAAATGTTTGGTTGCGATGTCACAAATGGCAAAAAAAGGGGTACAGGAAGTATGAAAACATTGGAAGGAGTTAGTTGTACATGGAGCACAAGGGAAATGTTTGTAAAACCAAAAGGAATCCTTCACATTTTTGACAGTTTACAGAGAAAACTTCCACTAATAAATCCCCTCTAGCAACACTTTATTTGTAACAAAAGAAAACTGGGAGTGACATGCATGAATGATACACAACATTCACTTTATACTGAGATTGATCTTGTTGTGATGTTAAAAACAGGCACGTCAACAACCTTTGGATCTAAATGGTCTACTGAGATGAGGAGGAAACCTGCCACTGACGAAGAATAGCAAACACTCTTTTAGACTTGTCACGAGGGCCCTAGCGGGAGAGAAAAAAACAAATAAGCTTAACTGTTTTTGGTTTTCTTTTTTCTCCCATACATTTTTTGAGCTTTGTACTTGCCTGTGCTTGGGTGCCACCTTGTGCATTGGAGTTCTTCTTTGTGGGCATGAGGAGGTCGAGAGCAGCTTTCCAGCCCTGCTGATTAACGGTCGAGGTTCTGGCCAAAGATGATAAGGCTCCTGGATCCATATTCTCCTTGCCCTCAGAGATCCAGGGGCACCAGTCTCTGTGTTGAGCGAGGGGGTCAAATGCTTTCTTGGGCAGAGGGCCATCCTGACAAAAAAAAGAATAAAAAATAAAAAATGAAATAGTGAGTTTCCAGGATCCCTAATCAAATTTAACTACTAAGAATTTCCAGGATGCCCAGTGCTTTTTCAAGACAACTCTAAAAAGTGTAAATAAAAGATTCACAAGTAATTTGATAGAGATTTTACTGTCATCACGCTTAAAATATTGAACTTGGAGAAAAAAATATAATAAAATAAATGCGATGATAAACTTATTGTATTAATAAGACTGACAAAGAAAGTGGCAAAAAATGGAAGGACAACAATTTTATACTATTGGTCAGCCAACAAACTTTGAAAATCAACACATTTTCCATGTTTTATTATCCATATTTATCCAGACCTGGAAAATATCCAAATAAAATTCTATGCTTCCTTGTTAAAAAAGCTATATTGACTGCAATATTTTAAATATTTAAGAATGTAAGCAACCTAAAATGGGCTTTTCTTTCAAAATTACAGCTACAATTATCTTTTGTTTTGTCTTAGCTCTAAAAAAAAGGCAAAATAAAACAAAATGCATAGTAAGTGCTGCAGAGGATCAGTTAAACATGATGCACAGAAGTAACTTCAAGTCTTACTGGACCACCACCCAATGAGAGACACAGGCGTTTGGGAGGGTGCAGGCTAGCAGCGCCGTCAGTCCCTGAGCCGAATCCCTGTCCCCGGCTACGAGTTGCAGGTCTTTTGCCTCTGGTTAAAGGACTCGGCAGATCTTCACTTGGACTCGGTGAGTCTCTGCTTCGGGCACGGGAGGCTACTGGCGAGGTGGTACCTTCATCCTGGATCAAACGCAAAGACAAGTCAAGCTGGCATCTGCTTGTGATAGGACTTTGCTGTGGGCACAAAGCTTATGTTGGGTATGATTCACAGAATATGACATATTTCATCTAAAAAAAAATTAATTAAAAGAAAGCGAGAGAGCAGCATTTAGTTTCTATGCTCCTCAACTCTGGAACTCCTTTAACACTTCTCTATGGTGCATTCCCTAGGCACCATCGCAACGTCTTAAAACTGAATGTTTCCATCACTGTTCGTTTAGTACACAAAGGGTATTATCTCCTGTGCAAAAATAAAACAAGGAAGACCTGTGCTGGATAAAATTATATTGTGTCCTGAAATAAAAAAGAAAAACATCTCTAATGTATAGATAGAGCAAACAGTTCACTTCTTCTGGCACATTAGCTTCTTTAGAGCTTGCCTGGTCAGTGCGGGTGGAGTCCTGACTCCGAAGCTTCATGCGACATGGAGTTGTTGGCGCTGGAGTGGGTGAGACTGATCTGCAAGCGTCTCCATCGGACGCTGCTGACGTGGGCCCTGCAGTGTGACCAGAGGGTCCCACAGGGTTTGGTAGCGCGTCTGTGTCGCCGCCAAGCCCCTCTATCTGTAGAAAGTTCCACAAGCCCACCTTTCGCATACAGTAGGAGCAGGAGAGGGTCGGCAGGCTCATTGCGTGCAGAGCTGGGCTGGATAGAGAGAAGAGCGCAATGGTTATGAGTTTCTTTTTAGTGATATGACATGGAAGAAAATTCATCTTACTTTGTTCCCCAGCCACAGAGAGAAACGATGCAAGCAGACACCTGTACGGCCAAAGACTCGGAGCAGGGAGTTCCTCCCTTCCGTTTCTGTTCTTCCTCGATCAACTGCAGCACAGTGCTGATCACATCCTCTGTCAGACACTGCAAAAAATAAAACCCACTCAGGACAACAGTTACGTCGGGGTAACCAAAACGTGCATTTGGATATGTTTCATGCAGTGCCCAGAAACACTTTACTTTACCATGGACTTAAGCAGCTCTGGACTCATCGCTGGCAGCTGCTGTGCCAGGACACAGGTGCTCTGGAAGCGCTCCAGAAGGGAAGTAAGAAGCTTTGATGGTTCAGAAGCTGGAACCAACCAGAACCGCTCTGGGAAAAATGAATATTTATTGTGACAATACCAAAGACTAACGCCATGGATGCATTAAATACAGCTATGTAACTGCTCCCACCTGGACAAGGAAAGTCGGGCCAAGGACAATACTTTTCATGCTGCGTTTGAAGCTGCCTCGATATTTCTGCAACTCGAGTTTTATCTATTTGAAAAATCAAAGAGAGAAAACTTGACTTTCATTTAACGACCTCAGCAAAGCCTTGCCAAAACGACTCCAGCTCTGGAGAAAGTTAGCTGCTTGTAGCCTTGCTTACATTTCTCAATGTCTAAGGATGGTTGTAGGGATGCACAAAGGAAAGCCTGGCAGCTGGAGCACTTAAGCATATCACAGCCAACGTTGATCCAACCGTACCTGGCGCACATCAGAGGAGACAGGCTGCGTGGCTTGGCTGCCCATTTCATACAGTGCAATGCTAAGGAAATTCCCAGTGCTATTAATAAAAACTTCCTTGCATTGATAGAATGAAATAAATAATAAAAATACATGATATTATTAGGTAAGAAATAGTCCCAACAACATGCAGCAAAAGGAGAATTCCTCATTGTGAGAAAAGGATATTGAATATGATTCCACTCTGGAGAAAAAAGCTTCATTGTTCGTAGCTTCACAGGGTGCCTGGGTGTTGCCTTTTACTTCCGGAACGTTAAAATCTCCCTGTTTGCTGAATAAGACCAAAGAAAAAAACAACACACATCTTGACGTAATTAGTAACAAAATATTATATATTCTCTCTGAAGAACAGTAACAATCCCATTATTGTTTACAATTTTCAGTTCATGTGTTAGGGAGGAACTTAAAAGAAAAGAAAATAGTTAATTGAATCGGATTGCTCAAGATTCATTATGAGTTTCTTGTCAGAATTGGATAACTTCCTCTTTCATCAAGTGTTAACAGCATCAGGAAGAATTGTGAAGAAACAAATAAGACTTTAAAGAAGAGAATGGATGGGTGACAAAAATATGAATAGATAAAAGAGTAACAGCAGGATGAATGGACAAACTGTTGAAGTGAGACTATGATGAGTCTATGATGGATAGATGGAGGGATGGGTAGGGGATTGACAGACGAATGGATGTACATAAGACAGCTGAAGGACAAATTATCAATCAAAGCAAAGATGGATGAATTGACAGAAAGAACAATGAACAGATACCTTGTGTGAGGATAAGGATAGAGTACATTAAGATGGATAGTCCGATGAATAGATGGACGAATATAAGAATTAACAGGTAAACTAATAAATGGGTGGATGGATCTTTTTTCTACAACTCTTAAAATATTAAACGTTTAGCCTCGACCTCTTTTTCTGCAATTATGCATTGTAGGATTAGCAGCAATGCTGCACAGCTAGTTCAGGACAAAAACAAATATGCCAAATACGCCACAGCTGTAGCATGCTCGCGTACTGAACCCAGTCCTGTCGTCCAGGCTCTAGTACACCTCAGCAAAGCGAAGGCGCGGCTACATTGAGCTGCTCGGCTACGAGCCTCAGCCGTAAGCTAACGTAAACATACAAGGATAGCGCGTGTCGGTTGGCATTAATCACCTGTTGCAATCGACGTCTACTACAGATACCCCTTCATTAAGAAGTTCACGGACTTTTTCAGGGGAAGCGAGGCTGGATTTATGTTGGTTGGAAATGGCAATTCGCTCCCCGCGGCTACCACCGTCCGTCGCCATAGTCGACTCTTAATGGTTTCCCCTGAAACTAGGACCTCACGAAAGACGTTCCGCTTTGCTAACCCCCCCACCCCCCCTTGTTCGCATTAAAACACGAATTTATTCATTTATTAGTATCAATATCATAATATACAAATGTGTCTAGAACATTATATTTTTTCCCACATTTTTTGGGGGAATTATAGGTCTAAAGCAAGTTCAAAAAGCTATTTCTTTTAAAGAAAAGAAAAATAAACAAACTAATAAATAAATAATTATTTTAAAAGATACATTAAAATTATATCTCAAATAGAATTATTATGTCCACCTACATTAAAATAGCATCTAATTTGGTTCTTGCGATATTCCACTGTTGTTTACAAAGGTCAAAAACAAAAGGTGGAGAAATGTAAGCAACAAAAATGCTGATTGGTTAATAAAATAAATTATGTCTGTTTATCTCTTTTTGCAGGTATTTTGCAAAAATATCTTTTTACTCTTACACGAGTAATTTATTTGAAAGGTCAATTTAGTAAAAATGCAAGGAAGTACTACATTTACTCAATTACATTTCTGCCTACATCTGAGAGTACTTAAATTTCATAAATATATTTTTGATTCATACCCACGACCAGTTGATGGCGCTAACTGCCCTAGAGCATTGCCCTCCAACTGCTTAGCAACACCAGAAGAAGAAGTGTGTCATCACCCGGTGGAGCTAAAAGAAAAACAGTGAATGGCTTCAAAATAGGCTGAAATGAGACATCTACGCTTTATCGGACGTCGCGTTTTTTCCATGTGACATCCAAAGGGACTGGGCAGTAAAGGGAGAAGAAGGGGGCAAAAGATGTCGGACGTTGAAGGCGCTGACAGTTCAGAGCAGCTGAATAAATTTGAGAAATTGACTGGCAGGCCGCCGAGCGGACCGATGTTAGCAGGTAGGTCAACAACAACAACAGTAACATCACGACATATAATGTTTAATCCCAGCTTTCATGTCACGTATTGAAGACGGACTCAGCGCAGTTAAATTACACTGGTAAACATCACATTCATGCTAACAGCCGCTCATACTAGACGTTTTACCGGGATGTTTCAGGTGTGCGTTGGAATGGCACCGACATGGCATTGTTTTGTTGATTACCGGGCAGTTTAAAGCTTTTCTGTTTGTCTTGAAGATGCACTAACTTCTCCTGCCTTTTAAACGTCTTTTCAAGTCAGATCAGGGAACATACACTATAGTTGCTTCCTCCTTACATATTTACAGTTTTTTTTGCTTTTCTAAGTGTCTTGGATCATAAAACAAGTGTTAAGCCATCCAAATCAATCAAGACTGTTTGTGAAATCGCCCTCAAATCCAATAACTGGTTGTGCCATTCTTGACGGCAACAGCCACTATCAAGCTTGTGCTATACCTGGAAACTAATATTTTTTGTCAAAGTGTTAGAATTTCCCCTGCTCTTCTGAGTCCTCAAGCATGAATGACCTAATGAAGCTCATTTTAATCCAGGCTTTGACTAGACCACTCCAAAGCTTCATCGTACTTTTATGGAGCCACTCAGAAGTGGGCTTGCTGGCTTGTTTCAAATCTCTGTCCTGCTGCTTAAGTGACCTTAAGGTCAGAAACCAATGACCAAACATTCAAGATTTTTGGCTAGAAAACTGAATAAATTTTAATTAAGTAAAGTTGTACATGTCTTATATCAGTAAAGCAGCTAGAGACCGCTACTACAACCACCCCTGTGCCAGAATATCTTTATCAGATTTAAGTCTTTTGAAGACCTTTTTTCACTAGGCTTTTAGACATTTAGCGGTTGACCTGCCTTTCCCTTAGTACTTCTGCATGTGTGCTTGGCCTTACGGTCACAGACCAATGACCGAACATTCTTCTTTAAATTTCTAGTAGGCAACAGAATTTCTGGTTCTCCAGGTCCTGAACTCCCCCACCAACTACCACCACTGAACTGGACAAATGCTTCAAAGGTATTTTATGTCCCCCTTGTTATACCTTAACTCCTCTCTGTCCAGGTCCTCGAACTCCTCCCGCCCGCAGCGGCCATCGCTGCGTCGCTGACAACACTAACCTGTACGTGTTTGGGGGTTACAACCCGGACTATGAAGAGTCGGGAGGCTCCGAAAACGAAGACTACCCACTATTTAGGGAGCTTTGGCGGTACCACTTTGCCACGGGCTGCTGGCAGCAGATTCGAACCGAGGGTTACATGCCCACAGAGCTAGCGTCGATGTCAGGTGAAACTCTTGACCGGCTTGCCTGTAGTTTAGAACCGAAGGTCCGTTGTTCATATTAAAAGCTGAGTTTATTGTTCTGTGTCTCTCCAGCTGTTTTACACGGTAACAACCTTCTGGTGTTCGGTGGCACCGGGATTCCCTTCGGGGAGAATAATGGCAATGATGTTCACGTTTGTAATGTGAAGTACAAGCGATGGTCACTGCTCAACTGTCGAGGGAAGAAGCCAAACCGGATATATGGACAGGTAGCTGCAGGAATCATTTCTATATCTGCATAATGGACAGTTTCTATTTGTTAGGGTTAACACCTGTTAAACATACATTAACAAAGACAGAAAAGACAAAAGAGTTAGATTCTTTTTCACTCGCGAGGAGAACGGACAGAGATGTGCTTCAGTTACAATCTCCTACCGCTCTGAAGCACATTTTGTCTGCTCCTCTATTTTATTGTTTCTAGGATCCCTAATCACAAGGACGCTGTAGCTCTAAAGGGAGGGGGCAAACAGCTACAGCGTCAAATGTTATTCACTAACTAACACACAATCATTCTGTACTAGATAATGTCCTTCCAGGCACAAAGATTAATAAATATGTAGTGATCTTAGCAATGATGGTTTTATTGGAGGCCAGCAACTCAACCGAAGCAGAGCTCTTCACCAAGAGGTAAACCTGCAGGAAGATTTTGTTTCTGCTCTCTGTCAGTGAGGCCTTCTGAGAAAGGAATCAGAGTAAATCAACAATACAAGAAACATTCTTAATTCTATAATGAGATTAACTTTAAGGAAAGCATCAATTAAAGATATATTATAAAGATCAATGAGAATAACAAATAATTGATTAATAATATCACAATTTCTCCAACACTATTTTAGTATTTTATATTTTGATTCTGAAAGGTAATGACTGTTGTTGTGCACTGATGTTTTTTTATTTTTTTCCTCGCCAGGCGATGGTCATCATAAATGGCTTCCTCTATGTGTTTGGTGGAACGACGGGTTACATCTACAGCACAGACCTGCACAGACTAGATCTGACCACCAGGGAATGGATTCACCTCAAACCCAACAACCCGCCTGACGACCTGCCAGAGGAAAGGTATAGTGCTGGACATCAAACTGCTGCTGAAAGTCAAATACATACGTTTTCTACTTTCCAAAACGCCCCTTGACATCAGTTCCTGTTTCCGTGTGTCACAGATACAGGCATGAAATTGCACATGACGGACAGAGGATTTATATTCTGGGAGGTGGGACTTCCTGGACGTCATACCCTCTAGATAAGGTACGACACTGCCAGTTTATCTGTATCGATGTTAAAATATTAGTGTAAAATGTTTTGGGTTTCCTTTTTGTAGATACATGCTTATAATCTGGAGACAAACTCTTGGGAGGAGATCACAACTAAACCTCATGAGAAAATAGGTGTGTATGATACAACTTTTTCTCAGAGTTCAGCCTGCTTTTTCTACTAAGTGCTTTGGAAGTAAACCTACTCCTTCAACTCTTTCAACATTTGGTCACATTTTATTAAGATTTTATGTGACTAACAGAAAAGAACGCAGAATTGTAAAGTGAAAGAAAAACCATTAGTATTAAAAACTAAAGATGTGAGAAGTGTGGGCTGCATCTGTGTTCGCTTAATACTTCATAGAACCACAGGTCTTTTGAGGTGTCTTTCGAAATAACTTAAGCTCAGTCATATTGGTTCATCGTGAACAAAAATGATAAAATCGCGTCCAAGATACTTACAAAGTACTCCATGCAAAATATCCACACACACAAAAAAAAGAAAAATATTAAAACTTCTCTGCTTTTTGACAGGATATCCTGCTCCTCGACGATGCCATAGTTGTGTGCAGATACGCAATGGTGAGAAAGACAGAACTAAGAAATATCTGCTTGCTTTATGCATGCTGGCAAACTAACACACAACCTGTGCTTTCCCCTTTTTGCTGTAGATGTATTTATTTGTGGAGGCTACAACGGGGAGTTGATACTAGCCGATCTGTGGAAGCTAAACCTGCAAACTTTCCAGTGGAGTAAACTACCAGCAGAGATGCCTGAGCCAGCCTACTTTCACTGTGCTGCTGTAACCCCTGTTAGTACCTTTCACCTAATTCAGAAAAAAACCCTTAAAATTAACAAGTTCATTACACAACAATAACATTTTGGTGTTTTTCGTCAATGAAAGTTTGTATCGTTTTGACTGAAACGTACATACACACATCATGGGAATGAATGTCTCCTTAATTTTTTAGTTGAACTGTTTTTTCCTGATGGAAGAGAAAACACTCTTCCATCCTAGAATTCAACAAACAGATTGTCAAAGAGTGTACATGATACTTTAAAAGTCAATAAATGTGTGAAATAAATACAGACATGTATTTAATCAAAAGCATGTTTTCATAAGATACACAGCTTAATGTCTGGCGTGCAGCCAGTCAACTGTTAACGCTGCTGTTCTTTGCAGGCTGGCTGCATGTACATTCACGGAGGTGTAGTGAACATCCACGAGAACAAGAGGACTGGCTCTCTGTTTAAGATCTGGCTGACTGTTCCGAGCCTGCTGGAGCTGTGCTGGGAGAAGCTTCTCAAAGCCTTCCCCCACCTGACTTCTCTCCCAACCTTTCACCTGTACAACCTGGGCCTCACGGAGGAGCTCGTAGACCGTGTCAAGTAGGCGCAGAGGAACGGGATACATTTCCCAGCAGGACTCTGGATGTTGCCTGATGTAGCCCCCGCCTTAAAACCAAAAACAATGGGATGCCTTTTTTTTTTTTTTAATTCCCATAATTATTTTTGGTTTTGTTTTTTTTTTTTTGCCAGTTTTTTGTATATACGGTGATGTGCGTCAATATTTTTGGAATGTTTTATGGATTTTACTCTAATCCCTGTGCCATCACTGCATCTGTACAGTGTTTGGATTCCTCTTCCAACAAACTGACAAGTTGTACAAAAACAATACAAAAAACTATATTTTGCCATGTGAAAAGTCAGATACTATTTACTCTCACTTCTGCAAATCCTTCAGATATTTTATAAATTCAGAGTGAAGGGAATAATGGATGTATATTTATTTCAAGGATGTGATCACTTTTTGCTGGAATTGTTAATTTCCCCCTTGCCCCCCCCCATCATGAACTGATATTGCTCTTTGCACATTTCCCCTCCTCTGTTGTTCTTGTTTGTAATTGTCTTATTTAATAGATCCTTTATTCATCTGTGGCTAGTTATTTCAGCCTAAAGAGTGTGACACATTGGTTTGCCGATTTTTCACAGTTACACTGATACCATACAGTTCTTCTTGTCCTTTCCCCTGAGGGGACCTTGTCCGCTCCAAGTTGTCAGATGAAGTAATAGTCGTGCAAGTTTCAGCAGTCTAGTTATCTTGCCAATTTGTACGGATGGACAAACAAAGCTTTTATTTAGCCTCGGAAACGTTATAAAACGTTTCAGATCATTTGTGGTCAAATTGCCTAAAACTTGTTCAGACACTGGGTGTTCATTGCCATGACAAGAACATTTGCAACCTGTCTTTTTCCCTTTTTTTCCCCGTTACTTTATGGCTTAAATATAAAACGAAGAAGAATATTTGGGTTGTTTCCCCAAGTGTGCCGATTCCTAGTTTTATTTGTGAAACCACGCCTCACTGTGAATTGGGTGCTGTTTGAATCTTAACCTGTTTGTTCAATGATGCTTTTTTCCCCTTCTGTTAAAGAAGACAGCTTTGCACCGAGAGCTGCTTCAGTAGCACAGTCTTTTATCCCGGAGTGCCTTTTTCTAAGATGCATGTTTAATCCCTTAAAATATCCCAGTCAGTGCTCATTTTAAAAGGCGCGTCATTTCCCCTGTAATATCCAGGTCAGTAACTCTTGATCGACTGCTGCATGTTGCCCTAAAAATTCTTGACACTTGGCGTCTTTTTGTTTCATTTTGAGATCTTTGGTTTGACCCCCACAGGTGCATGACTCCTCTTATTTTAAACTTCTGCACTGCCTTCACAGATTCTCTAATGCATGATGCCAGTACCTGCTTTTCAAAGAAACCAACAAACTTTATTAAAATATGCTTTACAGGTTTCCTATTTAAAAAAAAATGTTGTACAGTCTGGTTTTATGAACATTGTCAATAAAAGTATTGTCCAAATATAATCTTGCTCACATGACTAATTGGCATGATAAGTAGCACTCCTTATATTTATCGTTCCCCTTAAGATGTGTGCAAGAAAATACATTTAAAAGTAACAAAGGTGGACAAATTTGGGTACTTGTTAAGCTTTGTTTAGAGACTCCAGATGTAGACACAACCATCTTACCATTTTTGTTTCCACATTTGAAAATACTTCTTGATTATTTTATAGTATTTGTTGAAACCACACAATTTTTCATCAATTAAAAGTTTCACTAAATGTGTTAATCAGTGCAAAAATATAAATGTCTTAATTTATTCAGGAATTTATTTCATTTTATTCAATCACATTCCAAAAGTTTACATCAATAGTCAAGATTCACAAAAGCACTAGAAAAATGTTTCAGAAAACAAACGGTACAGGGTCAGAAAAGACAATTTAAATACTCAGATCATTTCCCAGTTTTTGTGCCTCTGAAACCCAATCACATGAAAATTAAAAACCAGTGATCTTTTGGCATAAAACTGAACAGATGCGTTCTTTTCTTTGCAGATTAACACGAGCGCGGAGAAGGAGCGAAGAAGTAAACGGCCAAAACGATGAAGTACACCACCACTAGGGCTGTACCTGCAAACACAAAGATGACGACTGAGGACTCTTTGTATTTAGTTTTTCTATAACGATATGTGTTGAGCCTTGCAAAATGGAAGAAGGAGTTTGCAACATGAGGAACTTACCCTGAAAGTAGTCACACTTCCCATCCATGAAGATGTAGTTCACCAGAATGACGCTGAAGATGCTGGCCCAAAGATGAATGTCACTGAACACAAGCACAAATCCTACATCCTGGACACAAGGGGAAAAAAAGGCATATTAAGCCAGACAACTTGAGCAGTTTGTCACAGACGACATGTGAAAACATTACACACAGCAGAGGAAATACTTCATTTATGTGTGAGGTTAGGGTACTGCAATAAAGGATGAATTTCTTTTAACATGTTTACAAAAGGTGATAATAGATGAGTAGGATGTGCTACATGGACAAAGAAGTAAAACATACTCACATAGAAAGCATTAAACAGGACAAGAAGTGGAATCTGTATCATGCAAACCTGCACAGCAATACAACTGCCTACTTCAAGACTGCAAAAGAGTTAGAAATATACAGATCTTAATACTTTACTGAGAGATTGTCAGAAGAATTTCTATACACTTAAATTCTGTGTTACAACTCTCATTACTCAAAATACTAGTTTGACACAAGCTACCATGACAAAAACAAACAAACAAAAAAAACCTCAAGCTGATATTGTTTTGCAGTGCGAACTGGATCCCATTGACAATCTCAGGAAGCTCCGGCACCATTGCCAATACAGTGACGCCGATGAAGTACTGCAGGGAAACGAGACCCATCTGAGTGCAACTGGAAAAGTTCAAGTCTCATCATTTGAACCAAATGTTCTTGTTGAGAACATTTGTAGCCACAAATGGTTTGCATTTTAACTACCTGGGAGATGGAGGAATGACTCAGGATGGGCTCGATGTTGACAGTGCAAAGATCCGCGCAGCTCGCCATGAGCACTGTGGCAAAAATCAGCACTGCGAGAGCCCTCCATCTGGACCAGTGGACAACAGGATGACCTGACGGCAAGACTTCTTATTAACCACCAATACACTCAAAATACATGCATTTAAATGGTGACTTAGCACAACTTTTTGTTAAGGGAACCTTAACTTTTTCCCCCTCTTAGAATCCTAACATGGTTTTAAAACTTCAGGTTTTACTTCCTCCTCTAACTTTTATTTATTTTATTAGTGGCTAGTTAATATATACTGTGAAATAAATCTCAAATTTGACAAAAACTTTGAGTTCCATCAAATACTTTAAACGTTTAAAGTTTTTCATCAGTCACTACATATGTAGATGATGCATTTTCTTTTTTTTTTTTGGAAAGTAAAATTTATAAAAAGCCTGTGACAAAAATGTGCAGGTATCCTTTTGCAGCAGTAAAAGGAATTCACAAATTTCTGTGAAAATAAATTTGTTTCGGCATGCATGACCAACTTCAGCTGGAAATCAAGCACTTAAGATTGTGACATGCATTTAGTTTTTCAGGTAAGCAACATGCAAAAGGTTTTAAGTATTTCATGCAAAGAACCACATATAACCCACAAACCTGTTGGAATGTGGCTCGGTGCAGTAATGCTGGCATTAATACACATGTTGGCAAGAACCAAATGGGCAGCTGTGACCTCACCAGTGGGATTGCTGCTGTTGGTACCCTCCTGTGCATACTGACCGTGTGCTTGTCCCCCATGACCGTCGCTGACATGGATATCATAAATGTGTGCATGGGTCTTGAGTGTGAAGATGAGCCCGATCAGATAGGACGCAGGCAGCAGGACGGAAATGGTGTACACCAGAGGCCTAGGAAAACATTTCTTAATTAATTCAAACTCAGGAGGAATAAATGTGCAGAAAATGCATCTCAGAATTTCAATGATTTTACTTACTCAATATGGGACAGAATTAAATGTGGGTCAACTGTAGTCTGTTGGGGAAATAACAGATTAAGACAGTTTTACCTGAGTTCCATTTAAATATGTAAAACAAAATGTATTCCTGTAAAAATCTTGAACTTGTTCTGCCAAAAACAGGGAAAAAGCTGCCCACCGTTTCATAGTGGCAGTCCTTGCAGGTGAATGGTACGGTGCCATTACCAGGAGTACCGGAGCAGCTTTCACACACCAGGTTACCAAACGTCTTTGAGAAAAGGGTGGGTGCAAACACACCTACAGAGTGAAGCACAAATCTAATTTTTCTCCAGGATGACTCTGCAAAACATTTCAAATGAACACAATGCTTACCTCCAATGGATATGAAGAGCAAAGCTGAGCTCACTCCGGCCGAGCGACTGTTAAATCTCTGCTCACTGTGTTTGATACCTCCAATAGTCATACAAATACCCTGCAAAAGATTTTTTAGAATCAATTAGACTTGCAGCCAGGCAGGCGGCTGTGTGCTCACATGTCCATTGACACTCACAGGTATGAACAGAATGCACCCAATCAGAGTGCCAGCTAGTGCTGACTTGACGATCTCCTCGTAACAATTACTGCCGGCGCGATGCCCCCGGAGCAGCGCCGTGATGTAGAAGGTCATCTCTGTGATGGAACCAAACGTCGCGTTGACTACCGCCCCCACTGCAAAGTTACTCTGTGCAGAAATGCTGAGCAGAACACAACAGCGAAACTGAAACATGAATTCTGTGTGCAGCATACAGCTCTTTGTAAATGTAATCACACTACTTTCATATTTAAATGTATTTGATCCGATATATTTGGCCCCCTCATTCGTCAAAGGCAAAATAGAGATATTTTACCTTGCAATTCCCATGCCAATATAGTAGGACAGGGGAATTATGGACATGATGGCTATTGTAAACATGGTTTCTGTACTGAAGTATTCATGCTCTCGGTCAGTATAGCCAGCGATTAAAGTCACGAATACTAAAGGTAACAAGTCTGCAAGAAGAGATTAAGGAAAACGGACAGATGCATCTTCAAAAAAAAAAAACAAAACAAAACAAAAAAAACTCCTCACCCCCCACTACGCATTCATGACCAGCTAAAAAGGATACTGAGAGCAAAGATGTTGATCCCTTGGACTGTGTATTTGTAGTAATACACATTGAAGGCCTGATAACAGTACAAAACAGCTCTTGTCTCACACATGTCATTCTGGAAGATCAAACAAAAAAGCAAATGGTAAATAATAATTCCTTCACTAGTTAAGAGCTTTGCAGAGTGACCAGATTAATAAAAGTTAGTTGCAACAACAAGTTATTTATAATAATCTACCTTTAGCCCTACGACAAAAAAAAATCTGAAAAGTTTTGGTTTCACAGACAGAAAACTCAACCAAATCCATTATGCAACCTACTCACAATTTTGCATAAACACAATTTGTTCCTCATGAATGGCCTTTAAAACTTCTGAAATGTTTATTAGTGAACCTCAGTGTATGACAGAAACTGTCCAAAACACTCAAAAAGTAAGATTTTTGAAAAATACAATGCGTCGATCTCAAGATCTTTGCCATGACTGTGGGTCACAAAACACGTCAAAGAAAAGTTAACTTTGCTGGGGCGACATCAAAGCCATTTTTAAAAAGTAATATTGCCCAAGAGCTCATAGGAAACCTTGTCCAGTGAATGGATCTCGATGTCCTCCGGTGCCATGAGGAGAACTGTGGTTAGGATGCGGCTGTTCATCTTTGCAATGGGGATGGTGAAGACTGGAAGCCAGGACAGGACAAATGCGAGGCAATGGACCACAGCCAGTACAGGGTAACCCAGCAACAGCCAAAGGAAAGTGCTGACGCGGCACTGCAGAGACACAATGGGGAACGACTTAGTAGCATGAAAATTGTGGATAATCATAAAATACATTCTGACACTCTCACCCAGTGCTTTGTGGGTTTTCTTGGAGGAAGAGTTGGAACAGGGGCCTCAACAGGGAGGGGGGAGGACACCAGAAGAGGTGCGCAGTCCTTGTCCCCAACCAGATCCTTATGCTCTTGTGGAACAATGTCACAGTTTGTCGGCTTCACGGCAGACATGTCAACTAAATGGCAAGCCTGGAATTTCAAAGAATACAGAAAATGGTCCATTAGAAAAACGGATTTGGCTGGAAATTGTGGACGGTTTATATCCATTTACCCTTTGTACGGATTTTCCAAATGGCCAAATTATATACCAGGCCAACTTTAAACAGACTTTCCCTGAAAGGAGTGAAACAAATGGCTCAACAACATGCAGCAAAACACTCATGTTACTTAATGATGCAGCTGGTTCTGGATTACATACCATAAGGGACACCGAAGACAGTAAGAAACATCACAGGACAGATGAGTAGGTAGATTAGGGCGATCCACCAGCCAAATAAAAACACATACACTATGTTTCCAAAGGTGACCACTGGAGCTGGAGGACAGAAAGCAAAGAGCTTTCAGGGAAGAGCAAAATACTTTCGTGTATGCATACAAATTCAATAGTAGAGCTGCACAATCAATCACAAAGTATTTATTGTTTCAATACCACTGTTTTTGCATTTGACAAAAGAACTAACTAGACAAGAATAAGTTCGAGGCAAATATTCAAATACCAGGTATTTCTGCTCTATGAGAATATTTTAGCAACACTTACAATATGGAGCAAAATTTTAGAAGGTAAAAAGGAATAAGGGGTCAGAGTTTTTAAAGGGACATCAGTCAAGCCATTTCATTCCCAAATCAGCAAAAGTTAGCCAAGAGCAACTCTCAGTAAAAACGTGATTAAGGCAGAAATAAAGAGTTTTATTTTGGGTTTTTCCCCCAAAGCTGAACAGACTGCTCATTTTCTAAAAGTCAATATTTGCAATGCAGCAGAAATCCAATTTTTAATAAATTTGTTATTTATCCAAAGTTATATCTTTGCAGCAGGATTCTCAAACAGCAGCACATTTTGCTTGTTTTTCTATAATTGTGCTCTCCTTTTGACAGATAGACAAATAACAGAGAGCAAGAAAAAACCTTCAGTGTTCTTGACAATGCTGAGGTCGGTGTGCAGTTCTTTATCGATGTCAGATCGGTCTGCGATTGGTTTCTCTGTCACGTTGCCCTTCCATTTTCTAAATCCAAACTGGAAAACAAAACAAAATGCAGAATATCGCGTTAACGTAAATTTTTATACCATCTTGGAAAAATATTAATCCCATTCTTCATGGCAAAACATTTCAAGCTCAGATCATACTTAGTATTCAAATTTTGCCACAATTTTTTTTGTCCAAAAAGATTTTTTTTTGTTTTTTTTCCCGCATAATTTTAATCAGCAAATGTCTCGCAGACATCTGACATATCCTCCACATGACTTGTGACGAGCCGAAAGCAGTCCTTCAAGCATTGTTCTGAACTACGGATCTCTTCAAACCCCCACATCTTCTATTGTCACTTTATTTTATAAGTATAGCTCTTAAAAATAATCATCTCCAAGTGTTCTGTGGAACATGTGAAAGACCAGAATGTTTCAAGGTTTGCTTTTATATTGTTCTCTCGGAAAACAAATTCACCATTGTACTTTTCCAGTAGTATACAAAGGCAATCACCTCAATAATTATAAAAGGTTAAATAACAAAAAAACAAAAAAAAGAGAAAATTTCAGAGAATGGTTTTGTTTCAAAGAGATTTTGGTGGTGAAATAGCTGATTTGACGCAGTAATTGTCCCCTACCTTGTAGTTGTTAGCCTCTCTGTGTGCTTCCACTTCATTGTCGACTCTGATGGTCGTCCTTAAGGTGCCATCATGCCATCCTTCCTCTCCGTGCCTTGGGGGAGAGTTCCCATGTGTTCCTGTTGTAAATGTGAATTTTTATTTTAGCTATTCTTTTGTCTCACTCAGACATGACAGGTAGAGGACTCGTGATGATAAAGAGAGGTTTCAGCAAGTGAGAAAAAACTCATTCACCTCGGGAGACAGCAAGCAGACATTTTGGCGTGAACTGGCAGAAGTGGTGACCAGAACCGTCCGGGGAAGGGGTCGCCAGTGCTCCCACGTCTGGATGATGGGGCCCAACAAACAGCCTCTCAGGCTGGATCTGCAGCCGTGTGAACCGCTGATGATGCTCAGGATCGCAACAGTTTTCTGACAAAAATAAATTAATTACAAAAAATATCTTCTACAGTCTATCTGTGGGTTGTGACCGACATCCACAGCTAATGTGGAAATGTGTGAGACTAACAAAAAGCTCATGAGAGTCATGCAGCGTTCTTCTCCATTTGACCTCTTCCAAGACGGATCACATTTTTAATGCATTACAGCACACAAATGTGAGGGTCACGCTTTGATTTGAAATTCAAAACAAAGACATGCTGGTTATACAATAAGTGGTCTGTATACATGAGAGAAAGTTTTCTACATTTAAAACAAAACAAAACAAAAAAAGTCTAAAAATGCTAAATGACTTTTGGAAGCAAGTTAGTCAATAATTCACAATTGATTTTATAGTCAATATAAAATATACACAGTAACAATGATTAATAAATGATACTGAGTAATATATCAGTAGCTATCATTATGATACTGATCGTAATCAATATCATATATTATGATACTGATACATTATCACAGCATTAATCCAAGCCGTGATAATCAAATCGTAAATTCTTCCCAGTAGTTTTAAACATACAATTTTAACAACTGCATTCAATTGTTTAAAAAGTTACAAAGTAATCATGATGTCCATAAATGTACTTTGAGGACCTTCCGTACAAAATTAAAGCTTTAAAACGTAAAAACGTGAGCCGTCTTGACTGCGCAGGTGAACCTAAGACAAAAGCAGTCAGCCAAGAAGCAGCACGCAGGATGATTAAGAAAACGCACATACAGGTGCGCATGAGTTGGGAGAAAAATTAAGCAGTTTGTCTCACCTGTTGATTCAGCCACTGATCTTTTCCGAAGGTTCTCGACATCTCCAGACAGCAACAAAGGCGTTTTAAATGACATTTCGTGTGTGTTTTCCCCCCCACTTTCCAAATCAGCGAGCTCTCAGTGCTTGGTCTCCCCCTCAAGCCAGCCCGCACACAGACTGGCGTCTCATTACTGACAGAGGGAGGTCTGTTTCACGCTGCGCTCTTTATTTTCTTCCTCTACTGCAACATTTGAAATGTATTCAGCTTTATTTCATACTTAATCGTACTTTTTTCTCTGTGCGCTTCGTGATTAACCTCTAGATATTTTTTGTTTTGTTTTGATAATATTTTTTTTGACACCTTTTACTTTTTATCGCTTCTCTGATTTGATGAAAGCGCGTGTTTTGGCGCCCCCAGGCGGTTTAATTGGAACACAGCAAGAGAAAAAAGCTCGAGACGCAACAAAAGCTGATTTCAACTTAATTCACAGAACACGTCGTGTACAATTATCACAAACTCACTGTGCTCAAAAAGAAATGCAAAAATAATAATAATAAAAAAAGATATTGGTTATTTATAAAATGGCTTTCACAAAAGCATGAGTAAAACACTTTATAATATGTGAGCTCACATATAGATTCATATTGATAAAAATAAAAGTTACAACCATGGTGTTTTTGTTTTAACACAAGTTACACCTTACATGATTGTTTTAAATTGAACTTTACAGTGCATTTTGCATTTGTATTCATCCTTCATCCTTCTGTGCCACAGGAGGAGTTGTAGAAATCCACAGCTCAGGTGGGAAAGTCTGTATCTCGGATGGTCGGACCACTGAAGACTGAACAGGCTTTTTTTTTCTCTTCTGTGGTATTACTTTTATTTCCATATAAAAACAAAACAAGCATAGCTGCACATTTAAGTGAAAGTATTATTTTCTATACAACAATGTTGTGAAACGGTCTATAAAAGCAGAAGTATTTACTTTTCAAGGACATAAAAAAAACACTCTTCATTTAATATTTGAATAGTTCCTGAACAAGAGCTATGCCACATTTCAGTTATTAAAAGTGTAGCTTAAATAAATCTGACACAATTTTCACTAAATATAATAAAAACAGAAGTTTTTTTGTGTTGGCTATGGAATAATATAACTGCACGCATGAACTTGCCCTTCACTGTGTTTTGGTTAAATCACAAATAGCAGTGAAAGAGTTATTTGAAAGAAAAATACAGTCAACTCAGCCCTTTCTATTTATCAATTCTGCAGAACGTGTGAGCTGCTTGCAGAGCCATACAAAGAATATAAATAGCACCTTAATTTAGACAGGGAAACAAGGAAATATTCTGCTGTGAAACCATGCAGCTGTGATACAGATGAAACACTAAACCATAGAGGACAATAACATCCAGAAACCACTTTAAACATAATATATACAACAGTATATACAGTGCAAATACATATTTTCTTCTTTAAATATACAAAACAGAAAAGTGGAAAGAAAATCAGGCAAATAGAGTTTCATAAAAGTGTTGGGCTTTTGTGCCAAACCAAAGACAAAAAGATGTATTGTTGCACCAGGCAACAAAGCAAATAAAGATTTTTGCACAAGAACATTGTGGTTACAGAAAGTCAGGAAACAGTAAGAGAAGGGGCACCAGGGCAGACAAAGGGATTGTCTGTAAAACTCAAGTAAACCAATGAAGTGTGAAGTGGCACAGTCTCGTGCAGACTTCCTTCTTCTTCATGCCACTTTTACTCTACTGTTAGAATTAGTGATTATTTCTCTAATACTGGTAACATTAGAATATCAAGTTAGCTCATTTTAAGTTTCAGTAGAGAAAGGTATATATTTTATGTATTTTTTGTTTGTTTTTTGTTTGTAATACAAAATTAGGGATATAAGTTACTTTGAAATAGTTTGACTGAATTACCCCAAAATTATTAATCACCTCTAACTAGGACACCAGTGTTTTATTATGGAGGAAATTGCTGATCAGTAAGGTTGGTGCCCAGGAATAAAAATGGCTCACTTTGTTGTAGGAATGGGCTGGCTATGGTTAGTTTTAAAACAGTTCTGAACAAAAATGAAAAGTTATTATGTGGAAAGTAAAGTGTTCCTCCTAATAAGGTAGCCCCCACATTTACCCATGCTTACAAGACATGAATAGCTTAGCTGCCTGATCTGTTTTGTTGTCACAGAGTTGTTGTTGTTGTTGCTTTTTCTTACTTTGAAAGAACATATCTGAGGATAATGTACAGAAAATGGTATAAAAACTAATCTTTTAAAAATATATTTACATTAGTTTATTTTTCAATTATTCCCACACATTTTCCTAAGACATTCACTCAGACACACTCACACAATGTAAATAACAGAGACTTTAAACTAATCGTATATTCAGGATCTTAGTGATGTTGGACCTGGTACATTTGAGTAAGTATCTCCTAAAGTTACTTAAAGGTACTTATTTTCTTTTCTTGCTTTCTCTGCAGTTTTAAAAGTCAGAGTCAGCATCCATAAGCTCCGCCTCCATCAAATTGGTCCTGGAGTGGATGGGTCCGTAGCCTGCCCTGCGGCCCGCCGGTACCCGAGCCACATGAGCCATTCTCTCTGACAGCCCGTCAGTATGCTCCACCTCTCGGGGGTAACTGGACGATCCACTGGGCTGCCAGTTTGAAGTCAAAGGGTGACAGCTTGGCCCGAGGCCCAGATTTTCTGGACAATCAACTCGGGTCATCAGGTAACCGTTTCTGCTGCTCTGGCACTCCAAGTATGAACACCTTTCCTCGCAGGGTTCATAATCTGGCAATGAGCCCGGCAGGACCCCCTGCTCCAGTGTCTGATGCCTCTGCTGTTGACGTAGATTGGCCACCAGGCTTGGGTGGCAGGGAAGTTTCGGCAGGCGAGGAACTGAGCTGCGGCCAAACTCTCGCTGAAGGCGAGTCTGGTTTTCCACCACCTCGTCAGGGTTACGCACCTCCTTCCTCCTTTTCTTCTTCTTCTTTTTCCTCTTTATCATCTCAGGTGATATGTCTGCCTCCACCATCCACAGTCTGTTCCTCTCCTCTGGAGGGGGCACTGTCAGAACAGACGAATTATTGTGAGAACAGGTTTAAGGGATGTTTTGGTTTGCTGGATTGTAAATTAACAAAAGTGAACAGGGGATCAAAACAGGTCAAAAACCACCGGTTCTCTGCAAAACAGCCAAATTTCACCTGGAGTCCCAGTGGGAGTGACAGAAATGTCCTGAGGCAGAATGGCTCCCCGTCTGGCGACCATCTTGGGTACATGGAGAGCCCATGCTGATGAAACATCATTGGACGGCTCGTTCAGGTCAAAATTAATTCCAGCTTTTAAAAGAGAAATAACAGAGAATCAAATCAGAATCGTCTTGCAGTCTGTCATGGTCCTGGAGGCTTGAAGCTTAATCAGTAGCCTTACAGTTTCCACCACTTCTCTGAAATAAAATATACACGCTATACACCAGAAAAGTTTCAAGTGGATAATCCCAGATGGTTTCGTTTTATTATCATTACTATTATTTTCATTTAATTATTTAAGTTAGAACAGCCATTTGGATATAAACCCATGCAGTTGCAGTTATAGCTCACAAGGTGGCGCTAATAGTAGGGTTCAGATACTAACCCACTGGGCCATCATGTGACACAGTATGCATGCTGAAGGACAGCTCCTTCTCCGGGTCCTTGTGCAGCTCCTTCCTCATTGCGAACGCCTTTGCAATCATCTTGCTCTTCTTTATCCTCTTAGGTTCGTTGTCACTTCGACCAATGATCCTGCAAAAATGACAAATTCTTTAGAGACTGGTAGGGACCAAAATATGATTCTCATCTCTGAAATTACTTAGTGTTTTCTTACTTGAACCAAGTGCGTTTCCAGATGAGGAAGGTGGCTTTGGTCCAGACCCAGGTGCTCATGGCGATTCCTGTGCCGAACATGGAGAACAGGTTGATCTTCTCCACCATCAGGCTGGGACGGTTTTTAATGGTGCATTCTGGGATGGGCTTGTTGGTTTGAGAGGCGATTGTCACGTTGGCTTCACATCTGGTGGAAACATGAACAACATTCAGACCCTTGTAGTTCATAAAAAGATGAACAGCACAGGTTTGACGTGATGCTGCCACCACCGTACTTCACGGCTGCGATAATGAGTCCAGGAAGTAACTGTTTATCCACACATAGCTTGTCAGCCAGGAAGTTTCCTTTTGGAATCATCCGACCAGAAACGTCAAACGCAACTTCTTATGACTTTTGTTAAAAGTTGGCTTTCCTCTCATCTACTTTTTAATGAAGGTTAGCTTTGCCAAGTGCATGATTAATAGTTGCATTTGAGCTGTGGATCTCAGTGGATCCTCCAAAGTCACAATGTGCTTCTTGGTTGCTTCCCTAAAAGTTGTCATCTGATAAAAAAATAGTTTAAAAATTAAACAAAGAAACTCTCATGGGAAATCTGTCTGAAGGACTTACAGCACATATTCTCTGAAGCTTCTCTCCCATTCAGCCTGGTTGAAGAAGTCATAGAAGTGACATCCGAATGTGATGAAAACAAAGCCAAATGCAAGGAATCCAAATATACCTAATGATGAGAAAGAGATACCAAACAAACTGTTGAATATTGTTTTCCTCATTTAGAAAAAAAAAACGTGCTAGCTCAGAAAATTAAACCCATTAAAAACATTTGTCAGTGTAAACACGGTGTTCCACTGGGTCATCGAATCACGTGGAGGCATTAAGGGTGTTTACATTCTTTGTGCCATGTTGCCTGCTGCTTCAGACAAAACATCTGTTTGCAGTGACAGACTTGTGTTTTAGCTCAGATGTTTATCCCTCAAATGTTAGGAAAAAGAACGGGACTGGTCTTACCTAGTCTCAGCATTGTCTCATTGATTTTGCTGGCTGCTTTCTCACTCAGTAGTCCTGGGTGGTTACTCTTGATGGAAAATAAGGTCATGACACCTAGAAGAACAGATTTTTAGAGGAAAGTGTTATGAGTTGAGCCCTTTTGTGGATCGAGGTCATTTCAGTGGGTTGCAACACAATAGTAACTAGTTACATTTACTTTAGTAACTTGCAGTTACCAGGCAGATTTGCTGCACTATACTGCTTACTTTCACCCACCATCTGATATTATAATCTGTTACTTGTAACTTTTTTTTAACCAAATACTTCCTTGTTTTTACTTATGGATGAACGGGACAGAAGAATGTAGAAAGATTAAAGGTTTATATAATACTCAAGACCTTTAGAATAAATACCTTGATTTATTTCATCATCACTGCATGTATGAAAGCGTAACAGATTCATTTTATTGCACAAACCTACCCCGAATGAGAAAGTAACCACCAACAACAAGCACCACTCCAATGGGAGCCAGCACAAACCCGGCTCGGTAATGGTAGTTTTTGTAGCCGACAAAGCAGATCCCACTCACAGAGTCTCCATCCACCTTTGGGCCACAAACACACGAACAAAACATTCAATTTATTCCATAATTCTCAGAGCCTACAACCTCATGAGGGTTTTCTACACACCTCAGCTATAGCAAGGATGGCCACCGTGAGGACAAAGGGAATGGACCAGGTCACCATGTGGAAGTAGGAGGTCCGTCCAGACAGTGGCTGGTGAGTTGTACCTAGAGCCTTGAAGGAGGTGTGCCAGGCGTAGGTCAGCATGACGAACCAAATCACTCCTGACATCAAGGAGTAATAGACGATGATGAAGATGGTGACGCACGAGAGCGTTTCTGAAGATCTATGGAGAGGACATCAGTTTGTATCTATCTCTTTCGTTTTGGCTGTTGTCATCCAACACTGGGCCCAAGCCCTCACACTTACGAGGGCTCCCCGAGCCGCATGGTGTTGTCACTCTTGCACACAATCTCTTTGCGAGCTCCGTCCAGGAACTGGGCGAGCCAGCCGATGCTGCCCACAAAGAAGCAGGCATTGATGTAGAAGAGAATGACAGCCGGGTAGCGGTTCGAGTTTTTCCAGTCAGCAAGAAATGTGGCCTGAATCAAGACAGAAGGGGAGACGGTGGTCAGGGAAGAGAAAAAGATCCAAATACAGGGAAGGAATGAGGAGAGATTAATTTCTCTCTTGGTGGAGAGTGTTTATATTTCTCACCAGAGTGAAAAAGGTGCAGAGGAGTGTGATTGTGCCAAAGTAAGCAATGTAGGCATGCATGTCATTGTGCTCCTCTTCGGTGAACAAGGGGTTGTCGCACTGGATACCACAACCTTCTACATCCTTGTACCAACTTGACTGAATGTCTGTCTTCACCAGAGGGGCTTCACACTGGCCTGATGTGTTGAACTTCAGCTTCTGCACTTCATTCTGAACACATAATGGATATAGGTAAGGATGTCTTGCAAGAACACCATCTTCCAAGATTTCATTGAAGGAAAGGAAGAGACGTCAGGTATTGAAAGATAAAATAACTGTTATTTTCTAAACAGTTCAGGACAGGTGGTAAGGTTGTGACCAGATTTATCCCAGTTAACGTGTTTTTCCAACTTATGCCCTAGCGTCAGATTTTGAAGCAACCAAATGGAGAAAGCATCTCCCTGGTGATCAATAAACACACACAAAACGAGGCTTACCGAACAGCCCACAGGGAATTTTTCGCATTTGAGGAAACTGGGCCATCCTCTCTCCCGATCCACAATGCTGCACGGGCGACGTGTGGCCAGACACAGGCTCTTGCTGGGCAGCTCCACTCGTCCATTCTCGCATTTCGGCATGTAGACGGCACAGAGCAGTGGCTGGATGACTGACCAGCAACGTGGGGCATTTCGCAATCCTAGGATATGAAAACAACAGTAAAAATATGGACATGTACACAAAACAGCTACACAACGTACGACTATATAGATGTTACAACTTATTTTGCCAATAATTGCCTGAGATGCACCAATTAATGAGTCAGCGATTGATTTATTTCAGATGAATTATGTAAGTATTTTTGTACATCCCCTTGTAACACACCATGAAACATGGTGGTGGCAGCACCATGCTGTGTGAATGTCTTTTCTGCAGCTGAAAATATCCTCAGAGCTCATTGATCTGACTGAACTTGAGTTCACAAAGGATGTGAAAATAACATACAACCAACTACTATCAACAACATACATTGTAACTACTATCAACATACACTGTTGATAGTAGTGGCGAACAGAAATGCACACCACACTTTATAGATTTTTATATCTAAAAAAACCCCCAAAAAACAAAAACTTTTGACCATTTTTCTTCAACTTTACAATCATACACTACTGGAAACCCAATTGATTGAAAGAAAAAAAAAATGGAAAAGTTCAAAAAGTTAAATTAATGTTGACTGTGTCTCTCTAAATTTTACTGCTCTGATTTAACTTACCAGACCACATGGTCAGCTTCTCAAAAGCCTCCTCTTGGCTGCTGGAGTCCTCCGCCAGGATCAGAGATGTATGGGTGTAGGGTAAAGGTGAACCCAAACATGTGTTGTACTTAAGCACCTCACAAGTGGAGGTTTTCTTGCAGCTGTCCTCAAACATAGTCCCATTCGGGGCCAACACTGCCCTGCAGCCCGACAGCCAGGCAGCCCAGACGCAAAGCATCCCAACAATGGGGCTTCGACTCTGGGAAGACATCTTGGGAGAGAAGATGGACCTGATGTGGGGAAAAAAAAAAATCCAACGAATTTCAAAATTCTTGAGGCTTCAGCTACCAAACTATAAGCTTCTCTGGTGAAAGCTGGTTTCTACATCTGATTTATAAGTTTCCATACTGCAGAAAAGCTACAGTGGGGTGTTTTTTTTCTCTAAAGTTTTCTCGGAGTCCTCTCAAACTTTTTGCTTCTGCACTTTTCGTCCGTGTCCCACAGAATCGTCCTAAACGTCCTCATTATTCAGCTCCAATAGTCCCAAAACGTATTCCCAAGTAAAAATAAAAAACAGAAACAAGAACACTGACTGATGAGTTCCGAATTATATGAAGTATTTGCTGGATGGCTTTAGAAAGAAAAGCATAACAGAGAATTCTGCTTCGCCCTACCCCCACTTTCAGAAAAAAAAAAAAACTTGAAAAAAGTCTGGACCTCTGTAACAGGATCTCCTGCTCACATGCACCACCCCCTTCTTCTTCTTCTTCTTCAACGGAAAACTAAAAATGAGAAATAGTCCTTATAACTGCGTCTACATCCTGAGAATCTGTTTTCCTCCATGTAGAGTATCTGGCAGAAGTCCACTAGCGTGTTTGTGCTCCTGTTGGTTACAGCTCAGTGTCTGGCTGTGGGCTTTTTTGTCACTGGTATGCACATGGTGGGGGGAGAGCCAGAGCAACAAAACCTCCTCTCCCATCCCCCCCTCTTGCTTGTGGAAGAATGTGCCTTATGGCAGGGGCCTTGCTCCGAGCTCCTCATCTGAAGGACCCCCACGTCAACGCAACACAGATTCGACAGGTTTGCTCTTGTGAAAGGAGGATTTTGTAGCTTCGCTAGATTACTCACCCACATCACTTTTAGGTTTGCACTTGTACGGTCCCACATGAAACTCAGGTGGGCCTCGAACCAGGCACACTGGTGGAAGGATTGCCACAGTCGACAAAAACAACAAATCATTTTCATTGCTTATTTGCTTAAAGAGCAAACAAGCTGACATCTGATTAGAAGCTGCTACCCTAAATTAAAGAATTGCTGAGGGAAACCTCCCTGGCATCTCATCGTCTATTGTTCAAATTGTAAAATATTAGTGCACCAGCTAAACCTTAATTGATATTTTCTTCAAAGAACAGAAGCTGGTGAATGATGAAGTCTGTTACATGTCAATACAAATATTGCGTGGCAAGTTAATCACAGTCAGAATACTGAGAACCTCCTGCAAACTAAAAAAAACTGTAAGATGAGTTTAAAATGCAATGTAATAAACTCAGCTTCATAAACACAATTAAAAATTTTGTTATTTTATTTGTTGAACTGATTATTAATTTAACAAAATGAAACCATTTCTTATAAAATCACGCTTACATTTTGTTTTATTAGTGGATCCTTGCAATACTTTTCAAGATATGCATATGCTGTTTGAAACCCATATTCAAATATCCTTGGTTTTGGAAAACTATCTTTTTTTTTTTTTTTTTACAGACTTTCAGGAAGAACAGTGGAGTTTTCTTATACTGGAGATCATTGGCACCACGCTCAAATAATATGATGAATGTCTGTTTGATCTGACCAAATCCATAGCACAAAATTTCTAACATTTTTATTCGGGAAGCTGAAAATCAACTGAACTGTCAATCTCATGCTTAAGGTGGCTACACAAGACTATTTTCATCAATTGTTAGCGACAGAGCATGTGTGCATATCTACAGGATTTTAAGTTGCTTGTTTCTTCTCTTCTGGTAAAACATGGTTGAGTTAGCTGCATACTCTGTATTGAACGAGAAAATGTGTGTGTTTGAGCCTCTTAAAAGTCCTCCAAAGCAGATATGAGTAAGTCAGAGGCTGCAAAAAAAAAACCAAAAAAAAACAACAACCCCAAAACAAAAACAAAAAAAAGAGCAAGACCACACGCATTACGGTGCAGTGCAGATCAACACACACACATACACAAGTCAAATCACATTCACCACAATGAGAGGCAGCCACAAAGACGTCACGTTTTCATCAGTTTCCCCACTAAATCACAACATTTGTTTGTGCGAGTGGACCGCTGAGCGGTAAGGGTAGCACTGCAACTGTTAACACACGGACAAATGTAATGTTTAGATTGGGGAAGTGCGTCAAGGCCGGTTGTACATACAGGACCGCCTCTGCTCCTAAAGATTACGAGCATCATGTTTCAGCTTAAGAGTTTGTTTTCTTTAACTGGAAGACGAGGCTGAAATGGAGACAGGAGGCCGTAGTGCTTTCTGTTTTATGTTCAGCCATCAGAGAGTTGTTAAAAATGAGGAGACTGTTTGCAGTTAACGGTCAGACTAAAAATCTACTCACGTAAACACAAGACTTAGCTGTCAAAGAAAAATGATCAAAGAACCATGCCAAGAATTATCAGGGAAGCGTGTTTTAATAAGCATCAATGTGGAACTGCGATGTGTTAAAAGCAAAGCCTTGTTATCCTGTAGCAGTGCACACATGTCAGCTGGCTGACCATAAAAAGTGACCACAACAATATGAACACCAGAGATGAGCTAGAATAGTATAATAAAAAACAAACTGAACAGAAAAAAAAATTGAACAAAAGCTGAAAAAGAAGAAAATTTTACATTTTAACATTAGGTTGGAATTTAATGAGCTTTTGGATGTGGTCACAAAAAGAAAAACAACAAATTTATATACTGGTTTGATAAAAATAATCTGGTCTCTTCAAATGTGAAGAAAACAAATCATATGCTGTTTGGTAATCATAAAGAAACAAATGGGAATATACAACTATCCCTGTTGAAATACATATGAACATGTATTTCTGCTTTATTTGTTTTCTGAATAAAACAAAAAATGATAAAATTGCAAAGAGTGTGAGCAGTCTTTGCAAGTCAGGGTTTTTATTTTCCCCTACTCCTTTTGGAACATGGTGAAAGGAAAAATGTACTTTGATCATGCTTGAAATTACATGTCCATTCTTTTTTTTTTTTTCTCGTAGGCATTACTCATTAGTCATAGAACAACATTCATTCAGAGTAGGAACAAAACTTTCCCAAAGTGAAACATTTACATTCATTATGACAGAAAACAAAAATGCTATATGTGGTATCTAAAAGAAGAGAAAAAAATAGAATGGAAAACACAACATCTCCAACACCTCAGATGCATTAAAGAAGTCACCTAAATATGATTTCTAAGAGTAAACAGCTTGAATGCCGAAATCAAACAATCTTCAGGTATTTACAAGACATAATAAAATGAAGACCTTAAAATTTCCCACTGAAAACAAATGAAGAGTAAAAAAATAAGTTCTATCAGTGCAGTGTGATAAATGCAAGCCCCTTGACTGTCCAGAAGGTGGCAGCAAAGTGTCACATCGTCAAACACAGGCTTGTTTGTACCGAGTCCCTATGTGTTGCTAAATATCGCAAAAAATCTGATCCAGGATCAGCTCCATGGGTCAGAGCTGTGCTTGAGGTTGTATTGTTGCAGTTCAACCTGGTTTTTGATCTGATTGATCAGAAACTGAGACAAAAACATCCCCACCAGCTGCAAGAGAGAAAACAAGAATGAACATTTGGCTGCAGCAAGATCAAGTGTTGATGCTCTTACTGCTCCAATGTGTACCTCTGGTATTGCCAGTCCCAGTGCAATGCCGCCCAGTATGAACATGTTGCTGTGGATAAAGTCAACCAGCATGTCTATGCAGCCACTGGTGTGAATTTCTTTGCCAGCTTCACCGAATTCACGTTCTTGCATGCCTTGGCCACACATGGTGTTGACTACACTCTGCACAGAGAGACATCCTTATGTCTAAAACTGAAAATACAACAGAAACACTGAAGAAAAACATAGGATTTGAATGTGTCTCCATTTTATCGGAGTGACCTCGTTTCTAGAGAGGATGCAACAGGAGAAGGGGACGGAGCAGCGCTCTCTGCTGGGGTTTGATTGGTTACAATCGAAGTAGATGTTATTGGTCCAGTCAAGGTATGTTGTAGCACCGCAGCATCCAAACTGAGGAGGAGGAGAGGAAAAATAAATAAATAGAGAAATATGATTTTTTTTGTTTCTTTTATGCAAGTGAAGCATACAGGATATTTCATCTTTTACGTACAAGATGTTCTTTCCTCCAGATTATTTTAAAGTAACATCGAAAATCCAATGCTAGTTGATTCTGATGAAATAAATACCCCATCTGACCAAAGTAAGACACTCCTCCGGTTCTGCCTCTGCTGCAGGAGTTCAAAACACAATTTTGACGAAACACTCACCTCTTCTTGGCCGAAGTCTATAAGATTTTGCAGATCGACGTCATCTCTGTAGTGAACGATTGCATCATTGATCACTTCTGTCACTTTCTGTCTTGCCTTGAAGGTAAAAAAAATAAAGAAAGAAGTAAAAAAAAAAATCTCAGACGTAGAAATCTGGTCAAAATGGTCAAAACGTGGAAAAACTAAATTTTGACCAGATTAAAACGCCTTTCTAGAGCAACATGATTTTACAAGCTACTTCAGTTAGTCTCTATGAATTTGCTTTTAATCGACATAAATCTATGCTCACATTTAATTAATTAATTGCTTGATTACCTTATTTGAAAAGATGAAGCCCAGAACACCCAGCAGCCAGTTGGAGTATGAAAATCACCACCAGGAAGATACAGAACTAGGACGGTAAAGAAAAAAAAATTATATATATATATATATATATATATATATATATATATATATATATATATATATATATATATATATATATATATATATATATATCTGTAAATTTATTTTACCATTTTATATCAATTAACTTAATGTAAGTTAATCACTTACATGATGACCTTGTACAGTGCCTGCACTCAACACCTAAAACTTTTCTACATTTTCCTACCTTTCAACCACAAATTGTCATTTATTGGTCAAATAAAAGGATTTGTACTAGCTATATGTTTGCATATAGCTAGCAGTATTTTTGTTTTCTACACATGCATCCTTGGAAAGCCTCAGAACTTTGTTCAAACTCATTAGGGAACAAAAATAAGTCGTGAACATATACCAGGCAGATCATGGAGAATGTTCCTGGGAAATTTAAAGCTATCAGATTAGATTACAGAACAGCATAGCAAGGTTTGGACGTCTCATCCGACGTCCACAGACATAGTGAAAACTGGAAATGAAAACGGTAGGCTTGCAAAGATTTGGTTGTCCAATTATACTGACAGGCTAAGAAAAACAAAAAGGCAAAAACATCAGCAAAGCTGGCAAAGGCAACTCTTAAGCTTGCCACACTTTTCAGGTTTTTATTTGCAATAAGATTTGAAATAAATCCCTTTCTTTACACTTCAAATTTGTGGCTTTAATGTGTCAACAATAGGGGGGGGAAAAAGCATGAATACTCTTGCAAAGCATTGTATTTCACTGCATATATTTGGGTGCATGCATTTCCCCCCCCCCAAATAAAACAGTTTTAAGTCTTAGATTAATAAAATGGATTAGAGTATTTAAAACCCAGGTACTGTTTGCAGGAGGCAGATGTCTCGCAGCGAACCCACGCAGCCACAGAAGGTGACCAGGAACATCAGGACTCCCACAATCATCAGCATAACAGCGGGATCCACAGACAGAGATGCCAGGGTTGCCTCTGCAAACAAAGATGGAGACATTTCATCTGCTTCCCGTTACAGAGGCTGCTCCATCCTTGTGCCTCTTGAAGTACAGCGGAGACCCAGTACCGAATCCCAGCAGGTACGTGCGACAATTTACCCGCATACTTTGCTGTACGGGCGTAAACGCCGACTGCCACCAAGACCAGGGAGATTATCTGTAAGCGAACATGAAAAATAAATAAATAATCACACAGAAAACAGGAGAACATTCGTCAGAGCAGCTGTTGAAAACTATTTCTATGTGCTTGAACTTGTCGGGTGTGGCGCCATCTAGACACTTCCTCTTCGTAACAAGAAAGATGTGCAGGGGGAGTTTATGAATCATATTTAATGAATCACTGATGAAATATTCCAAAACTATCCCATTTCTTCCCAATTAAAGTACGCAAAGTTGCGAAATCCTGTCTCCGCCATCGGTAATAAAGCATCTTATTTAGCTCTCGTCTCCCATTCTTGACGGAATAAAAGAAAGAGTTCAGGAACAAACCCTGTCCACCCTGAATGACATGGATCCAATTACCATAGAGACTGGAGCCTTGTTAGGAAGGACATTATTTCTCTCCCTTGTTTTGTGACGGCACAGCAAACAGACCAAGTATGACACCCGAAGCACACAGGTGGGTTTGGAACATGTTTAGGAAAGTGTAAAAACAAGTATCTTAAAAATTGACAAAAACTGAACAGTCAAGATTAGAAAAAGGTGCAGTCGTGGAGCAGCAAACCTCTGCTCGGAGCACACAGAATCCGACATAACTGAGGCAGCAGAAATGACAACGCATTCCAAGCTTCAAGTTCTCACACATCCTTATCTTACTGAAACAGCCGCGAGTCGTGCTTACCGAGAGTGCTGAATCCAAATTAATAAAGACTGATCTCTTTTCAGAGGGGCACACCTGAAAGGTCATGTCAGATTTGGGCTTCCCCTCCCAACTCAACATTTTGTGGGGACTTTTTTCTGCCCATGCAGCAGAAAGACAAACAAAAAGTCTCTAAATCTCAGCAAGTTTAATCTGGAACAACAAACCACCTCAGACAAGGCTGCAAAAGTTCACCTGATGCCGAAACCCTTTGTATGAACTTTGCAAGACACACTGCAGGGAGTTTCACTTCCACTATCTACATTCAGATGCATTTGAATTGTGAAATTTCAGATCAGGCAGAAGTGCAGTGAATATTATGGGTAAATTATTTGATGAAGTTTTGCAATAAAGAAGAAATGTAATTTCTTTGGACTCAAATGAAAGAAGTGTGACAATTTGCCAACTTTCTAAGCATCGAGCCCATTTGGCTCAAGTTTTAAAAAAATTGAGCTTCTTTATATTATGAAAAAAATATAGTCTTGGTTCTGCAAGGCTGACTGTTTGGCATATTTAAGGTAAATGTAAAGGTCATTTTAGAGTTGAGTATGTGCAATCTGTATCCTGACCCTACCTGTGTTAAAAAGTAACTAAAAACAAACAAAACAAAACTAACAACATCAAAACAACTAAACTGTTTTAAAGATCTTGCCAAGTGCCTTACTAAAATGACTGCTTTTGCATAACCACATTTTGTGATTGCAAGATGAGTGATTAACTTAACACACAAAAGAGATCAAAGTGGTTTTGATCACTCACCCAGAAAATGAAATTAAAAAAGAACAGCAGGTATTTCAGAACTGAGCTGACAAAGGTGAAATCCTCGCCGGATCCCGCTGCGCCCCTGCGGTTTCCTCCCATGGCTCTGACCCTGCTGCTTCAACCACGTTTGCGCACAAAAACAAAAACGCATTCGTGGAAGTCGAAGCTCGTAGTCATAAGCATAATGATGGCGTCTGAAAGCTGCTTTGCTCCAGTGACCGACAGATTCCAAGCAGAGACAGTCAAATCTGACTGGGCTTGTCAGCAGTGGGTGTTCAGTTTCCGTCTCACGCCTTCACAGGTGATCACATGATGCAAACAATGTGCAGACGGAGTCTCCCCCACAAGTGGATGGCTTGTTGCTTCGACTTATTCATTTAATTTTTGCGAAAAAAATCTAAAAAATAAAAGAGATAGTGCCTCTAAAAAGTGTAGTTAAAGGTCTGTAGAGAGTAGAAAATCCATTGTTTTCATTTTAATTGTTATGCTCAATTTCCTTACTTCCTTCTTTCTTTTTCCTTCTTTCTTTCTTTCTTTCTTTCTTTCTTTTCTTTCTTTCTTTCTTTCTTTCTTTCTTTCTTTCTTTCTTTCTTTCAGTTTCACTATTAATGTGTGCAAAGAAGTGCACCTTACAGAAGCGTTAATGCCTTACACTTTCTCCAGAATATATTATGTATGTATGTATGTATGTATGTATGTATGTATGTATGTATGTATGTATGTATGTATGTATGTATGTATGTATGTATGTATGTATGTAGTATGTATGTATGTATGTATGTATGTTCTGATCGACAGTGGTCACCGGTAGGTGGCGGTGTTGCGTCGCACTGCTGTGTGCTCGTCGCCACAACGAGAAGAAGAACATTTGCGTATCCGGAAGTTGTTGTTGTTGGAGCCTCTGCGAGTTTCACGTGAAATTATATTTTGCTTTCTTCGCTCAGACGTCTCCATTACCCCCAACATGGTGCGGAGTGGCAAAGGTTTGTTCGATAATTACACCCACATCCCCGCTGGTTTTGCTACTTTTATAAATACGGCTGATTTCCAAAGGTGTTAATTGCAACGCTAGTTTTAGCTCATCTTCTCCTCTGTGTCGAGAGGTGGATGCACTTGCTTTTAACCCTCGGACCCTAATGTCCCCTTTAGGCTCCCCGCTTCCTCCAGCCTCCTTGCAGCTGCTGGTTCCTGTGAGGCTCATGTCTGCCTTCGTGTGGAAAGCGGTGCAGCAGGACAGCGCCGTCCAGTACGAGAAGCTGCTGGACTTCATCGACCTGGTCACCGAGATCGTGCCGGAGCTTCTCAGTCCCAGTCAGAAGGGTCAGCTCGTCCTGGGCCTCAGAGCGAGGGTGAGGAAGATACTTTAGACTTGGATGTCTGATGAGGTGGAGAGTTAACTGAGAGCTTAGTATTCTTACTTCTTCCATGTTTATGAGTTACTGTGTGATCTGTGCTTGTATAGAGGCGATCACACTCACTGAAGATTATTGAAGCAACAAATTGTTTTATTGACTTAAAACCTGTGGAAGGAGCACAGGCGCACTTTTTGTTTTCTAAACAATTTTTACTTTTTGGCTTTGTTTTTATTTGACAACATGCAGATTTTATGTTTTTGTGAACTTGAAAGCAGACTAGATTATTTCATCATATCCTAAAGTATAAAAAGCCCGTATTTGAAATGGGGTTAACTTTCTGATTTATCATGGGTGTAGGATTCTTTGTTGCAGTTTTTCCATTTGTCACATGCTTGCAGCTTTATTGATGTTTCCCGTTCTCTGTCCTGATAACTCCGCTCTGATCGTTGTGTTGCTGCAGTTTGTCCTGGAGTTGTGCCGGGGCAACGGTGTAGCTAACATCAAGGCGATCCAAGGCCACCTGGATAAAATCCACACCTGCTGCCTGGAACTGAGCAACAATGAACACATGGTGAGCCTTTAAAGAAAGCTCTCGCATTACTCAGTTATTATTGTAATGATAATATACATATATATATATTTTTTTTAAAAAGACATTGAGGTAATTGCTAACTTTTCTGTGCCCATCTCTTGACAGGAAAGCTCTGATATTCTGAAGACTTCCTATAGTAACTTTGCAAGCTTGGTGCAGAACATTTTGAATGTTCCCTTAGAAAAGGAACTGTTCTTCCAAGTGAGTTCATTTAAACATTAAAGTAACTAAGTTTTCCAAGAACAGATCAGAGATTATACATCAGAAAAAAATACCAAATTATTTCAGCTTTTTCAGACATAGCTTTTGCACAGTAATCTGAAAACCAATTATAAGAGGATGTAAATAGCACCTGATTTAATCATGTTAATGTGTCTAGTAGCAATTATTTATTTATCACATTACAAGCTTGTCAAATGAAATTAAATCTGCTCCTCTGGTTATGTGTGTAGGAGGTTTTTCCTGATCATTATGGATTGGCCTTCAACCAGCGGATCCAACAGCTTGTATCTTTGCTTCTGTCAAGACTGGAGCAGCTGTTGCCTATACCAGACCTGCAGCAGGTATGCTCAAAGTCTCTACAGAAGAGGAGTAGTCATGTATCTGCATTTGCCAGTGCCTATATGCAGTTTTTCAGTATGAAAACCTTGGAAAAATACACAATTTATATTGCAGTATCAAGAAAAAAACGTCTCCTCAAATAGCCAGCCTGCAGTACGCTGCTTACTGCTTATGGTTTGCAAAATGCTGCTTTGTGTGATGATGTTCTTTTAGCTTCCACACCACAACTCTGTGATTTTCACAATTGGATTACTTCCCAACAAAACTGTCTTTCTTAGAGTTAATGGAAAACTATAATAGTCTTAGCTTTAGCTAGCTGACATATACTGTATGCACAAGAACAAGGTGGGAGCATAGGCTTAGGCCTTTGCTGGCATCTAATTGAAAAAAAATCTAGGAAAAACAATGACAGAAAATTTCAGTGGTTTTGAAGCCATAACTTTTTAAAACTGGAAATCTGTCCTTCCCTTATGCAGCTGGAACTGTTTCAACCTTGACACGTGTGCTGCTAAAGTAGTCATACAAATGATAAATATCTGTTCAGTTTAATAAAAACAATCTTATATGAAATGCAAACCTTTTCAGTAGAGCTGCAGCACATACCAAAACACAATCATCATCGATTGCAACATTAATTTTTGCACTCAGTGGAAACAATATTTTGTAGGATGCGCTTAATGCTCAAAATTTATGTATGTCTATTATGAAAGTGGTGCTAAAGGCCAACAAAGGTTGTGGAGAAAAAAAAAAAAAATCAGAAAACATGATTTCATTCTGATCAGCCTTTTTAAATGGAGTCCGTAAGTGAATATCACTGCGCTACCTGCATGTCTCTTAGACTGCAAATTGGCTCAATGAGTCATCTACTTCAGAAGACCTTGGACATCATCTATCTGAACCTTTTCCTCTGAAGACTCTGCTGCTCCATCACAGAGAGCTGGGGATTCTCAGTTCAGGTGAGATCAAGGATTTGCTCTCTCTTATTTTTCTTCATCTGAAGTGACTCTAGTGCTTAAGAAGTTTCTCTTTAGCAGTTTCTTCAAGCACTGAAGAGGATGTAATATTATCCACGCTGGCCCTCTCAACTCAAACCGATCAGTTCAGTGAGGATGATGAAGAAGACGATGATAAATTCGACAGTGATGAAGAGACGCTGGCGCTAGAGGACTTAGAGGAAGACTCGAATCAGAGCTTGGATGACACATCAGAAGACTGGGTGCCCAAAAATAAATCAGGTCAGCTGAAGGCCAGAAAAACTCTCTGATCTGACATGTTTATTTATCCCACTGAACTGGTATGTCCTTTCTGGTGTTTTCAGGGTCTCTCTCTCGTTTATTCATTTGTACCAAGAGTCCAGGCGCACAACCCATACAGAGGACGGTTCGAAAGAACATCCAGCGTCAGCAGCAGTGGGCAGCTTCTATTCAGAACACCAAGGCAGTTAAAAAGGTCAACAAAAATCAGCTGAAAAGCCAGGAGATGAAAAGTAAAAACAAGACAGCTGAAGACAACCTAAAGAACCAACAGAGAGCCAAACAGAAAGACAGTGTTGACAAAAAGGGGGAACATGACCAGAAGAAGGACGGACCGAAAAACAAAAGTCGGCGGAAACGGAAAGAGCCAACAGGGGAAGATAAAAGATTCCTGAGTACGCGACCTGTGAAGAAAAGCCTCACAGAAGAAGAACTCAAATGCCCAACGTGCCAGAAGAGATATAAACATCCTAACCAGCTTAAGACACACATGAAGCTTCACTCCTTCCGCTACAGCTGCATTGATTGCGAGAAAGGATTTACAAGCCAGTCTGGGTACTATCATCATCAGAGACTTCACAAAAGAGGCCGAGAGTTCACCTGTAAGGAATGCAATAAGGGATTCTTATGCCGCTATTCTCTCAAGCAGCACGAGCGCCTGCATGAAGGTCCTACCAACTTTTGCGACATCTGTGAAAGACACTTCAGCAAAAACGGCTTCATCAGACACATGCAGATGCACAAGGGTGAAAGGAACTTCCTGTGCACCACCTGCGGAAAGGCGTTCCTCTCGTCCGGGGAGCTGCGGCTGCACAATCGGTCGCACACGGGTGAGATGCCGTACACCTGCATCCACTGTGGGAAGGGCTTCTCCAGCAAGGGTCACCTCGTCGTCCACACGCGCTCTCACACAGGGGATCGTCCGTACCTGTGCGCGGAGTGCCCCAAACGTTTCCTTACCCTGAACTGTCTCAAGAGGCACTCTCTCAGCCACAACGGGGTCAAGCCTTTCAAGTGTCCAAACTGTGACCGGGAATTCTCCCAGCAGGGGAATATGAAAAGACACATGGCAACTCATAAACCGGACTGCTAGCGGTTTGACTTTGGTCACACAACACTTGAAACTATGGTTTTCAGGATCGTTTGGAAGATTTTTAATGATATGGTCAGTAAAACACTGTGTTAGTAATTGCAGTCTGTTGTGGAACCTATTAAAATACATTTACTAGTTGATGCCTTCCCATTGAATTGTCTTCTTTTTTTTCTTTCTGAGTGAAAAGTGAAACTGCTATCCTGACTAATATGAATACTTCAAAAATTCCCTGAGTAAAATGGCTGCCTGTTTTGCCAGGTCTCATAATGATTGAAAGATTGATTCAATCTTTCTTTAAATCAAAGAAAGCTTTCACACAGTTAATGCCTTTCTTTGCTTGGCAGCCTTTTGACAAACTAATTATTTGGATTTATTTTATTTTGCCAAAAAGTACTTTCTATAATCAATCTGTTAGAAATCGATTAGATAAAGAAAAAAATCCAAGGTTTATGTATGTATATACACGCTCACACACACGTTATGTATATTGATAAATTCTATCATCCATGTCTACAGTCCGGTGGGTGGCGGAGAAAAGCCAGACGTTGCTCATAGAAGGTTGTGGAAATGTAAAGATGTGGGAGCAACGAACACAAACCTCACTCAGACACACAATTTTTGTTTGGAGGAAAGGGCCAAAACTCCAGTAAGCTGTTTTGAGAATCTTCTGGAAGAATATCCAAAATTAGCCATTACTTTTTAAAGGGTTGTTGTGCAAAATATTGAGAAAATAGATGTGTGCGACTGAATTTAAAACAGTATTTTTATTTTGGCGGTAAAAATAAATGCATTGTGGCGGTGATCTCAACTGAAAACAATTTATAGAGAAGGACTGTTTTCTGTTGACTATTTGCAAACTTTAGGTTTGGTAATATTTTCTAATCCTCCAACTGAGAGCTGATCACATCGCTCAGTCTACACCTAACGCCTGCCGACCATCAGCGTGACACATGGAAGGAAAAGCAAAACAGCTGTAGGAAATGCAATTTATTTGCAATTTTTTAATAACATCATTCCTCAGATAAAAATGCAATGTTACAGGAATATACATCAGATATTAATTTAAAACTTGCTTCAAGGGACCATACAGTCTAAATATACTTTTTCCTTTTTTATTTACTGGTAGCGTGCGTTATAAGCAAGACAGACTCTGTCACCAATGACAGACTGACAAGTTACAGATACAAACTGTACATAACTTATTTACAAATAAACTTTTTTTAATATATTTTTTTTACTTTAATTTTTATGGAAAATAGGAGTAGAAAAAGTGATTGAATTAATATTCTGATTTATTTAATTTGTATTCTTTCCCTTTCTAATACCTAAATTAAATTGACAGAATAAAAAAAAGAAAAGAATTTATCTTTAGAAAAAAAGAAAGAGAAGAAGAAAATAAGGGTGTGTAAACTAAGACACCATGCAGTCATCACTAAGAGACCAAATGACAAATGTAAAGAAACTAAAATATGTTGGGCCAGTGTCACTTTGCAAAATTGGTATCAATGAAATCCCACCTGCTGTGCAGGGGGAGTGGCTTATGTTTAAGCACTACAAAAATGGCCACCTGCCTCCAAAGCTACCAAGCACAATAACATACTCTAATTCATTATTTAGACCATAAATAGTGCTGTTAATATCACATTTAACAGTAGCGCCTTGAGTAACATTACAACAAATTGGTCTTCCGAAGGAAAATAGAGCAATGAGAAACATTTTTCAGATGAATAAAGACAAATTGCTCAGTCCTACCAGTAATGGCCCTTTAACACTTTGCATGAGTAGCAACTGAAGACACAAATAAGACCACAAGACACTGCTGATGACAGGAGAGCAGACCCACACACCTCAGTCATTCACTCGGGTGATGAAGGAATGAAAAAGAACTTTCCTTAACCTTTACCTCACATGGAGCTGTGGATCTCCTACTGTTAACGACGACTAGAAGAAATCACTAATAAATATGCGTCACATAGACACACAAGGCCTATTTGTACCTAACTCTTTGTGCTCTAAAAAGAGAAACCTGCAGAGACCTAAGTGACATGTGGGGGCTAAGAAATACTGTGATTTCACTCCATTGTCTCACCCTAAATATTTCCAGTGAGATAATCACCGTCTCCAACATTCAAGGGATACTTTTGTGGATTTTAAAAATTATTTTTAGTGCAACATAAAGTAGCTCTTGTGTGTAAAATCAGCAGTAAGAGACAAAATGCAAGCAGAAACATTCAATTCTAATGAGGATGAGAACTGCTGCTGCTTTGCAAAGCTGCTCCTATATGCCTCTGGGGTCTAATACACCGATTTGCATTACACGTACATTTTATTTTCTTCAGTAACAAATGACAGAGGGTTTGGATGTAATTCTTTTTTTGTTTTTCTTCTTAAAAAAAGCAATGTTTGTGCCACATTAGTGAGGATTGCAAGATTTTGGGGTTTACTCTGTTTGCATAACCATAAAAAATACCAACAAATCAAAGGAAGAAGCACAAGGCTTCTCAACGACCTATTAAAACAGTCATCCTGTTGACATAAAGGTGCTGATGTATGTGCTGCTACACAATGAGTGATTTATACATAGTTATTCTGCATGCTGATTAAATCACTTTAATCAGCAAATCTCTTCTGTTGCCTCCAGAGAAAAAGGATGCAGGCAGCTCATCACTACCAACCTCTGATATGCTCAGTAAAGAAGTACCACACTGGCGAAACAGACAATCCTTCACCCCCAAATAATAAACCAAAGCATATTTTACAGATTGCAAATTAAGTGGTTTTATGTGTTAGTCTTGCATACCTGCCATACATCATCACAATACAGTTTCTGTAGAATCCTGCACTGCTCTCACCTGTACTTTTGTTTTATCAATAAACACATAAGTAAGATTCTTTTTTTTTTTTGTGCACAAGCAACAACGACAACAAGATATCTTTGCAAAACGTGAACTTATTAGTGTCAATTTAATGGAAGCATCTTGTTGATGATAAAACCAGGGACACTGCTGCCCTCTAGGTCTAAAATAGAAAAAAAGCCAGCATCTGCACAATTCCAAAACTCTCAACATGGGAACTGAAAACCTGGTTTCGTTTTATTATTATTATTATTATTTAAACATCAAAATCATACAACAGAATGCAGCACCCTGCATCAAGCTGTCATTTTACATTTTGTAATTTTGATACCCTTCTATAATTTTAATATCTAAAATACATCAGTTTAATTAAAATATATATATATATATATATAATATATCTATATTTTACTTTCTGCCCTCTTTCTGTCTGCTTCATCAATATAATCAAAATAATATCTGTATAGCAAACACAGAGATGTTTCTTTTTGGCCTCCGAAAAACAGAAGAATCAGTGTTTTTAATTAGATTACTTTTTCATCAACAGACTATGCTAAATTTACCTAGAAAAGATAATAAAATCTCTATTCAAAATAGCAATCTTAAAATATTTTGTCATGATTTTCCCATGAACAACAAAGACTTTGATTTACAAGAAAAATATAAAGCACTTCAGTTGCAACAATGGTAGATCCACATTAAGGGAATGCGAGGAAAATTCTCTCCCAGCCTCATGCTTGCAAAAATGGAAAACTCTTCATACTTTAAGATTGTATGTGATTTAAAATAATATACAGCAGCTTCCCTCTATCAGCATTCAGACCCTCATCAGATCTTTCTGTCACAGAAACATAACTACATTCAGATCACCTTTGCCAGAAGAAAATCTGCTCAAACTTCATTCTTGGGATCGACCCAACATGTTCTTTAAAAACATGAAATATTCTTTTAAAACTTTTAACATAACACAATTTATTCTGATTCTATATCTGGAACTTGTAGACAGGTAAAAAGCAGCAGTAGCATCATATCGGCGTGAAGCTAAGATCAACTAGCCAGACACTAAACTACATGTATGTTGCGTTCGAGCCTGCAAAAAATGCAGATAAAAATCTATACAGATGTAGTTCAAGTCCTCCAAATTCATCTTGGAAGATAAGCATAGAAGCTACAGAATTATGGTTATTCACAATATATGGAAATCTAGTCCTTTAGAGGTTGATTTTTTTATTTTTTGGTTTGTTGCTCGGATAATGCGTGTTTTGCTGATGTAGGATTACTTCTGTAGAGACGTGTCTCTCAGTGCTACAGTTGGGGTTTATGAGCAGACCTTGACCTGTGTTGACAGGCTGCTGGTAGGTTGTCCAAGACAAATGCAAGCAAAAGCATGTTAGATTTCAGGTCCGTGAATATCGTAATGTTTAACATTTAAACAAAGGGCCTCCTTTTTTTAATTAATTTATTTTTTATCAAAGTTGAAACGCTGATGGTGATCGACCTCCCCTGTTTTCACTTAGTCTTTTTCTAACCCAACATTTCGCTGTACTTGTAGGACTGAAAAATCTGAAATGCTGCAGAATGATTCAAATGGTTATCAGAATCCTCAGATTACTTTCTATATAAATTACACAAAAGTAGTTGCAAAAGATCAGAAATTTTCAAAGTTGGAAACTCTCCATGGAAATTAACAGTAATTTGTAGAAGTGAGTTTGAAAAAACTACAATGTTTGCGTTTCAACAAGAAAATTAGTTTGGGAAAAACCCTGGACCATTATGGATAACGGATCTGAACTGAATTAAGGTCACATATTTGACCCCAGAGCACCAGAATATTAAAGTCATACATTTGATTCGTTGTACTACTTAAAATTTTGATTGTATTTTTGTATCGATTTAAGGTAGGGTATTATTGTTTAACTAACATATGTTTTATGTATGTCTACTATGGAAAATATTTTTACTTATGTCCCTAATTTTCTGTTTATTAGCATCAATTCCCATGAAAACCTTCCAATACGCAATATTTTCAAAAATTTCCAGAAATGTTGCGAACAATCTTGTTTCTCTTTGCAAGCTTATCATGTGCAACAATGAACAATGTTATATTTTTCTTCAGAAAACCATATTATTTCAAGTTTTACTTTTGGCTAAAAACACAGTCAACGCAATGGGAACACCACCTATTATTAGGCCCAAATAAGAGATCCAATCCAAATACATTCTCAAATAGGTCCCCTTCCTGCTCCTTATTTTGACATTCTTGTGATTAAATATTTATATTTGTA